TTAATGTTTACTTGCTTCGTATCATCCGGTAGTGTTTGCATGGGAGTGGGATGTATGGGAACCCAGGCAGGCTTTTAACAATCTTGATTGAATTCCAGAATGCTTTTTTTAAAATTTAAGGTAGTTTTTAATGTTTACTTGCTTCGTATCATCCGGTTGTATTTTAATTAGCCTATAGTTCAATTGTTTTTTTAATATTATGTTTTAAATTCTGCGCCTTCCAATACGGATTAAGTTCTCAAGTCAAGACCCCACTGTATTATGTTTTAAATTCTTTTTTTTTTTAAATATTGTGGACTGCCATGGGTCCCCTTATTTGAAGAAAGGCAGCCTATAAATGAACAAACAAATAAATCCAGAACTTGGGCTTCAAGATGGAAGAAAGGTAGGATATAAATGCAAAAAAGAAACGAACAGCTTGTAGGGAGGGTTGAGCTTCATATGTTTTTCTAAAGAAAGAAACTGTTGTGCAGAACTTGGGGGGGGGGTTTACAAGTTTCAGGTGTTTCTAAGTTCACACGCTCACCGGCTTCACCCCCTTTTGCCAAACCTAAGCTAAACAATGCCTCTTTTTCCAGTGAAATCCTCCACATTTTAAGAGGTTGTGTATGGCTGAAGAAAAGTTTGCCAAGAAGGTTAAGGGGAAAAGGTGGGTGGAAGGTGACTTGTTTGAAATTGGTTGTCCACCAGAACTGGCTTCCAGTAGTTAACCAGGAGGTTGTGAATCTGTTACATCAAGAGTTGCTTTTAATTGAGAAGCAAGGGGGATCTCCTTCAGGGTGGTGGCAGGACTGAAGCCGGTGGTGGGCAACCTTTTTGTTGTTGTTTTTTGCTCTCCCTCAGCACAGGAAATAGGCTTTAGGAAAAGCCACATCCCTTGGGATCAATGGGACAGTTTTTGTTCCTTTGCTTGCGGTCTCCGGGGAGGAGGGAGAGGCCCGTGGAGAGGCTGTCCAAGGCAGAGACGCTGAGCTAGTGTTTCTCAACTCGGATCTATACCCAGGTTTTTGTTCCCACTAGTGGGCAACCAGATGTTTACAAGAACACACATACACATTTGCTTTGTGTTGTCACCCACTAGTGCTCAATGGCCAAGGGGCCAGTTGTGCCATAATGGCTAGTTACTCCAACTCTGGCACTCTTCCCAGCCAGTACGGCCCTACTAGCTGGGGTGTACTGGGACTTGCATTTTTTTTTTTTAAAAAAAGGAACTTTTCCAGGCTTCAGCTGCCATGGCTGCAGGTACCCTGTCTTCCTTCCTCATTCCATCTTGGCTGTTTGGCTTTGGAGGAAGGCCCCTTGGTTGCCAGCCAGACGACAGTCAAGCTGTCACTGAATCTGTTCTCTGCTGAGCTGCCAGCCTGTGCCCTTGGCTGAGCTTCTTTGGAGCCCAATGGCTTTTTTATAGGGTATGTCTCTCCTCCACCCCCCCGGTACACACATGAGGTCAGGCTGCACACATTTCGTGCTTTAAGCCCATCTGTCGTTAAGCGAGCCCAGGGCATCCCCGATGGTGTGTAGCAGTCTGACCCACGAAGCTGGGCTTGGTGTCCAGCTTGTTACACTTGTCTGCAATTAAGAGACTTCGTGGTTCACTAACAGCCTCTGTGCTTCAGTATCTAGCAGTACAGTGGTGCCTCGTATAACGAGTGCACCGTTGAACGATGAATCCGCATTGCGATGCGGATTTCCCCATCGCTAATGCGAGGGCATGCTCGCATTAGGATGGGGGAACAGCTGTTCAGTGGTTCCAAAATGGCCGCCGGAACACAAAAAATGGGTGCCGGTACACCCAAGATGGCCACCGGGACTCTCAAAATGGCTGCCGGTACAACCAAGATGGCCGCTGGAACAAAAAAAGGGCGCTGGTACACCCAAAATGGCCGCCGGGACGCTCAAAATGGCCACCGCTACACCCAAGATGGCTGCCGGAACAAGGGAAAACATCGGAGAACGGTGAGTTTTGGGCCCATTTGGAACGCATTAAACTTTGTTTAATGAGTTCCAATGGGTTTTTTGGATCCGTTTTACGATGTTTTCCCATAGCGAAGGTTAATCCGGAATGGATTAACCTCGCTATGCGGGGCACCACTGTACTTGGAAAAATCAATGCTAAGGTTGCAGTGCAAGCTTTACCTAGAGCACTGATTTAGTGGAAGGTTCCAGGTTTAAGTCCTGTATTTTTTTTTCTTGTTTTTGGATGGCAGATCTCAGAATTCACCAGGCAGAATTCAGGGAATTATAGTCCACAAACACAAATCTGCAGACTTCTGTATTAGAATACATTATTCAGGTTATTTAACCTCTGGCACTGATTTCATTTCCTCTCACTCCTCCTTCCTGCCACAATGCCTCATGAGAATCATAGTTTTTTGGGAGGTGTCTTTTTAATGACCATTTTGTATCTGCTTGGTCAACTGCCTGACCATCATGTGACCCCAGCCAAATGCTCAGGAGGATGTTAGGAGTTGTAGTCTTGCTGCCCATTGGACTCTAGAGAGAACTCTTCCTGAAAAACTCTTGACTGCAGCTTTGCGGCTTGTGGGCAGCAATTCCCTGAACTTTCCCTAGGGGATTCTTGGAGAATTCTGAGAATTGCAGAATTTCCAAAAACATGAAAGAACGCACTCATAATTCCTGGCTTTTTCTAGCTAGGGCTGTGAAAGTATCATCATTATGTCCTAGAGAGTGGCTGCCATCCCAATGCTAGGTTAGATTGACCAAGGGCTGGACTCCGTTAAAGACAACTTTTTGTCTTCACTTCACATGGTCTTGATTGCAAGGGCATAACAGATTCCTTGTCACCAGCCTGTTGGGAGGTCTCTCTGGGGAAGCAAAGTTGGCTGCAAGGAGAGAGACTCTTCTTTAACTAGTTGAGTGAAGCAGCCGAAACCCTCAGGCAACTAATTGGGATTCTTGCATTCAGAGCAGGGTGAGAAAGTTTCTCCTTTTAATTTGGACTAAACCTTTTAGAATCTGCATGCTGGTGGATTGGAGGTTTATACAGTCATGCCCCGCTTAACGATTACTCCGTATAACAATGAATCCGCTTCATGACGATGTTTTTGCGACTGCAACACAATGTTTTAATGGAGTTTTTTTGCTTTGCAATGATCGGTTCCCTGCTTCAGGAACCAATTCTTCGCATTAAGATGATAAAAACAGCTGATTGTCGAGTTTTCAAAATGGCCGCCGGCTTCTCAAAATGGCTCCCCGCTGTTTTTAGGAGCCATTTTTCACTTAACAGGCACCCAAAAATGGCCACCGTATGGAGGATCTTCGCTGGACGATTAGGTATTTCGCCCATTGGAACACATTAACCGATTTTTAATGCGTTTCAATGCTCGCTGGACGATTAGGTATTTCGCCCATTTTTTAATGGGTTTTTAATGGGTTTCAATGCGGTTTTTTGTTTTGTTTGACGACGTTTTCGCTCTTCAGCGATTTCGGTGGAACAAATTAACGTCGTCAAGCGAGGCACCACTGTAATCAGAAAGGTGGCTTTTCTGTGCTCTCCTTTAGCGTACGGTCAATTTCTCTAGGTGCCCTTGATTATACTACTCCTGGTCTGCTGAGGAAGTTTTACATAGCCAATACCTATAAATATTGGAACAGAATCAAACCTAAGTGAGCTACAGAGGACAGTAGTGTTTACATCAGGTGGAAGAACCTGTGTCCCCTCAGGCATTCCTCCATCATCAGCCCTGCCCAGTTCATGTGCCGCCACCCCTATCCAGTATGGCCAGTGCTGAAGGATGATGGGAATTGTAGCCACATGACTTCTAGAGTGGCACCTATTTTCCGCAGTTGGTTCATTGATTCATTAACCTGGACAAAGGTTTGGGAACCATCCTCAGAGAGGTACCAGTTTCAGCAGAAGCATTGGTGAGCTGGTTTATGGCAGAGGCTCGTGGGAGTTTTTGCCAATCCAGATGGATATTATTATTCCCATGTTTATATGGGAAAAGGAAAACACATCTATAAACCAGGGCTGAGTGTGTTCAGTTCTTAACTGTCCTGCAGTGTGAACGGAACAATGTCTGACTCCAGTCCTTTCATAATGAAAAGGGAAATATTGTTTGAGCTGCCAAGGCTGACTTTGGCCCACAACTACACTGGACTGCTGGTGTTTACACAACTTTGCTTGTGATTGCCTGTGGGCTAAATGATGGCTAGAGGAAGTGATCCAAATGAGCGCCAAGTTGTGGTACTTTTGAAGCCAGGCAAATTATATGGCAGAGCGAAGCGATCTTCCGGTTCAGCTGGAATTGAGGTGGTCCAGCTCATGTCAAGGGCCTTCTGTGCATTTTCCCCATAGCTAGAGCAGAAATAAAGATCCTGGGGAAATATTTGGTTTGATTTTTGAAGGAGGACAGGATTTAGATCATGATGGGGAGGGCCTTTTAGAACAGTAGGGAGTCAAATGGCAGATAATTGCAGAGCACAAATGCTGGAGAAGGATCAGGGATAAATAGCAGGTGGGTTGACTCTCATTGTGTTAGCACGCATACATGCCAGTCCTGTCCCAGGAGCACAAATGTACAATATCCTGAGGATTCAAAGCCATAGAAAACAATTTGTGCAAACAGAACTACATATATGGAGAAACTGAAATATTTGTAATGCTTTGTTGAATCCAAATTAGTTGTACACTAGGCTGTTAATGCAGTATATCAGGGTGGATTTGATTTAAATCAAATTTATTTAAATTGCGAGGTAACTCATGATTTAAAATTTGAAAAATAGAAATTCCTTGACAATTTAAATTTTAAAAAATCAATTTACAAATCTTTTTGGAAACGGTGATGTGAATCAGTTTGATTTTTTAAAAAAAATCATTGATCTATTAGGGACATTTGTAGACTTCATTCCATCCAGAAATGGTTCTTGTTTTCATTTTTTTCTTCACAACGCTCCTGTACTGTAGATCAGCCCGAAAAAGTGTGGCCGGCCCAAGATCGCACAATGCATTCCATGGCTGATTAGGGGCTTGATCCTGCATCTTTGGAGTCTGAAGCGGCAGGTGAGTGCTTGATTCTGGAAACCGATAAATGCGGCCTTGGATTCCCTCACCTCTGGCAAGGCACCTGGAAGGGACAACATCCCTGTTGAAGTGCTGAAATGCGGTAAGGAGATCATCATCACCGAACTGTATGAAATCTTTTGTCTCTGCTGGAGGGAAGGTGGAGTACCACAGGACATGAAGGATGCAAACATTGTCACGTTGTACAAGAACAAAGGTGACAGGGGTGACTGCAATAACTACCGTGGTATCTCTCTTCTTAGCGTTGTAGGGAAGCTGCTTGCCCGTGTTGTGCTGAAGAGGCTCCAGGTGCTTGCAGACAGAGTCTATCCGGAATCACAGTGTGGATTTCGAGCAAATAGATCCACCACTGACATGGTATTCTCCCTCCGACAGTTGCAGGAGAAATGCAGGGAACAACAACAGCCACTCTTAGTGGCCTTCATAGACCTTACAAAAGCATTTGACTTGGTTAGCAGGGATGGCCTTTTCAAAATACTTCCCAAGATTGGATGTCCACCTCGTCTCCTTAACATCATCAGGTCCTTCCACGATGGAATGAAAGGCACTGTAGTTTTTGACGGCTCAACATCAGATCCCTTTGACATCCGAAGCGGAGTGAAACAGGGCTGTGTCCTCGCACCAACACTTTTTGGGATCTTTTTTGCTGTCATGCTGAAGCATGCCTTTGGAACTGCAACAGAAGGTGTCTATCTCCGGACTAGATCAGATGGAAAGCTCTTTAATCTCTCTAGATTGAGAGCAAAGACCAAAGTCCAGCTGAAATGCATGAGGGACTTCCTCTTTGCAGACGATGCAGCCATTGTTGCCCACTCTGCTGAAGACCTCCAACAACTCATGAATCGTTTCAGCAAGGCCTGCCAAGACTTTGGACTAACAATCAGCCTGAAGAAAACACAAGTCATGGGCCAGGGTGTGGACTCACCTCCCTCTATTACCATCTCCACACAAGAATTGGAGGTTGTTCATGACTTTGTGTACCTTGGCTCAACCATCTCTGACACCCTCTCTCTAGATGTCGAGCTGGATAAACGCATTGGGAAAGCAGCCACCATGTTCTCTAGACTCACAAAGAGAGTATGGCTCAATAAGAAACTGACAACACATACCAAGATCCAGGTCTATAGAGCCTGTGTCCTGAGCACACTCCTGTACTGCAGCGAGTCCTGGACCCTTTGTGCCCGGCAGGAGAGGAAGCTGAACACCTTCCATATGCGTTGCCTACGACGGATTTTTGGTATCACCTGGCAGGACAGAGTTCCAAATAGAGTAGTCCTAGAACGAGCTGGAATTTTCAGCATGCATACATTACTGAAACAGCGACGTCTACGCTGGCTTGGGCACGTTGTGAGAATGGCTGATGGTCGGATTCCAAAGGATCTCCTATATGGAGAATTAGTGCAGGGAAATCGCCCCAGAGGGAGACCACAGCTGCGATACAAGGATATCTGCAAGCGGGATCTGAAGGCCTTAGGTATAGACCTCAACAGATGGGAAACTCTGACATCTGATCGTTCAGCCTGGAGGCAGGCAGTGCATCACGGCCTCTCCCAATTTGAAGAGACCCTTGTCCAGCAGGCTGAGGCAAAGAGGAAGTCACAAAGGAAGCAAAACCAGGGAGCTGGACAGGGGACAGATTGGATTTGTCTCCAGTGTGGAAGGGATTGTCACTCTCGAATTGGCCTCCTCAGCCACACTAGACGCTGTTCCAAGTCCTCCATACAGAGCACGATACCATAGTCTTTCGAGACTGAAGGATGCCTACTATTACTAAAGTGAGGCAAAACAGCGGGCGGCCATTTTGAAATTGCCGATCAGCTTTGCAAAAATGGGCGCTTTGCGATGATCGCTTCCAGGTGATCATCGCAAAGCGAATTTTCCCCATAGGGACCATCGCTAAAAGATCGCTCTTGCGATGGCAAAAAAGTCCATCGCTAAGCGATTTCATCGCTATATGGAGCGATTGCTAAGCGAGGCACCAGTGTACGTAGAGCCACACTGATCCACACACAAAGCAAAGTGCATCAACCGGCCTGCTGCCCAAAGCGGTACAGCTCTTCTGCGCTTTTGAACCTTTAAGGCTGCCATATATGCAGTAAGAGCACTAATCCATCTTGCCCAGGGACGGGCAGAGTGTGCTGCATGATCCCAGCTGATGATGGGCTGGCAGTCCCAGCATTCCGTGCTGTGCTTGCTAAGGCTGATGGGGTTTGCAGTCCAGCAGTATTTGAAGAGCCAGCCTTTGCCCTTCCCTGCGATAATGTTACATTATCTGCTTTAGCCTTTGCTGACCTATTGCTCTCAGGATATCTTGCTGTACAACGTCCATCATCCTCAGCCAGCATTTTAATCCCTTTTCAAACCCACTAAGCCAGTTGCCATCACCATCTCCCTTGACAATGAATCCTGTAAAATGAATTTTGTGGCCCCTGCTGCCTTGTGTATTCTTTATTTTTGTCTGTCTCTGGAAAGGAGGCATTGAATGATTTTGTGCTACTTTTTTTCCAAATCTGCTTTAAATGTTACTGTCGATCTTGCCTTTCTTTCCACTAGCTAATCTACCATGATTTGCTTGGGTTAATAGTATGACTCTCCCCTTATCCCTCTCTCTTCTGTCGTACCTCTCCCAGTTACTCATTTCACGCTGCGCTCTCTATCGCTGTTTCTTCCAGTACTCACTCACTTTGTGTTGACTTTAAGTGAAAAGACCTGCAGATTCTTCTGATCTGGGTGTTACTGAACTAATTATCACTAAACCCTATTTGAGATTCTGGGGAACAGATTTTGAGGTGGAACTGGGGCCAGGCATTTAAGCTGGGAAATTGTTAGTATCTGTGCAGACGGTTGTATTTTCTAGCTCTTACTATTTGGGGACAATCAAAAAGTGCTATTTTGGGGACTAATTCTGAGATATGTAATGAGTGAGAAAATGGGTAGCATGCATGCCGAATTTTGCATTCCTAGCTTTAATCGTTTTGGGATGGGCAGAAGAACTTTCAGAAGTATTGGTAATATTGAGCATAGCTCTGGCACAAACTGCAGATTTGCTCCGTGGCATAAGAGGTTGAGAGTTTGATTCCCCACTGGGCTTCCTTCACATGGTCTGGACTCAATGGTCCATAGGGTCCCTTCCATCTCTGCAGTTCTAAGAAGATGATTATGATTATTAAACTTTCCACTCTTTCTTTCTGGTCCTTTGTAATTAAATTACTCCGAAGCAAAACAAAACACAGGACGATGCAGTGTCTACTTTTTCTTGGCACGCAAAAATAAAGAGAAGACATAATTCTGTATGTACAGCTAAAGGTAGATTGCAGGGCTCAGTTCCCTTGGTGGTGGTGAGGGACCCTTCTGTGCCTGTTGGCAGCATGCTTGAGGATTAGGAGTCTCCAGTTCGCCGGATTTGGGTGGATGGGGTCCTTTCGTCCACTCACCTTCCATGGGAGTCTTTCCAGTGGATGCAGCTCTGATGCAAAGGTAATAGATGCTTGGTGAGCGAGATTCCTTCCTTCCTGGTTGAGTTAAGAGGATTTACGTCAAATCCCAGTTATAGGCTGGCTCTGGGCAGCTTAGTGCTATCTTGCTTTTGCTAGGTGGGAGTTGGTCACGGGTGGGAGGGGGAGCTTGCCAAGAATAGGGACGGAGGTTTGAGTGGGAGGGAGGGAGGGATGGAGAGGGCTTTTGCACGAGGTGATGGCTTTGCAGCAGCATGCCAGCAGAAGCCTTGCTTGCAAGCTGGGGAAATGACTTGGGTGCAAGGATTTGAGAACTGTAATCCAAACCTCCGAGCTCTTGTACGTCTCACCATTCAAGTTATATACCAGATTATCTCCTTTACTCTCACAGGTTCTTGCCCTGTTGAGCAGAGAGAGGTCTGGAATTCGGACCCCTTCTTAAGGAGAAATTCAGTTGCTGAGCTGTATGAGTTCTTGGGTTGGCAGTAATAATCATGCCTGTGGCATTCATCTCTTCCAGAATGGCTCAAATCACCAGGAAGGAGTATTGCCATTTTGTTTTAGGAAACTTAGCCAAATATCTAGAAAACATACTTCTGGACGTACCTAGTAGCTTTGCTGCTTTCTGATAATGGGGACTATTAGTGTGCAATCTCTGTCATTTGTCTTTAGGTCACCATATTGAATTTCTGTACTGTAGTTGGCTTGAGTTGCAAAGATGCAGAGTAGAGACTCATGAGCCGGTGAGCCGCTGGCTCAGTGGTTTTGGTATCAGTGGTTTTGGCATCTTGCTGCAAAGCCAGAGGTTTGGCAGTTCAATTCCCCACTGTGCCTCCTTGCAAGGGCTGGACTGAACCATAGCGTCCCTTCCAGGTCTCCCGTTCTGTTGTTGTTGTTGTTGTTGTTGTTGTTGTTGTTGTTGTAGTAGTAGTAGTAGTAGTAGTAGTAGTAGTAGTAGTAGTAGTAGTAGTAGTAGTAGTAGTAGTAATATATTAAAACATTTCATTTCTCCTGAAGGAGAAGTTAGCACACTTCTACAGCCTTGAAAATGATGTCTTCTAAAATGAACTAAATAAATGAGTGTATCCCCTTGTCCACATAATAAGTGGTCCTTTGTGGCCTTTTTTTTTTTTAAGTCCTACTTCCATAAAGTCTTCCTTTCTGGTCCTTAGGAGGAAATAATATTTGTTGTAGGGGGCTGTTTAGAAACTTGTACTTAAAAGAGGGTGGAGAAAGTGGCATGCCTTGTGTTTTTTGCATGCTAACTCCCATCCGTCCAAGCCAACATAGCCAGTGATGAGGAATACTGGAAACTGAAGTCCATCATCACCAACAAGGCCACACTTAGACATGTTCAGACAGCACAGTAGAGTAACCTTAATAATAATAAAAAATAGGATGGTGCCTAAAACGTCACCTGCCATTTTTCAGAAACTCAAATGCTTAATTCCTCGGTGTCCTGTTATTTGGCTTGTAGTAAAGATTTACTGTCCCTGTTTTGTCACTTGGGGGAATCGCCAGGGTTAGACTTCATTACTGGCTTGGAGAGGGTTGCATTGAGGATTCAGTTCACATCTCTGGGGCCTCTATCTAGTTAGAGCAGCATGACAATGGAAACGATGACTCCAGGGAGGTGGTGAGCGCTCCAGTGCCGGAGGCATTCAAGGGAACATTGGTCCACCATCTGTCAGATCTGCTTTGATTTGGATTCCTGCACTAAGCAGGCGGTTGGACTCGCTGGCCTTATTTTGCCACTCAGTTCTTCTACGCATTCCTGCACTGAGCAGGCGGTTGGACTCGCTGGCCTTATAGGCCCCTTGCCACTCAGTTCTTCTCCGATTCTACGTTTTGCCTTACCCTACTTGGATATTCATCCTGATAGTTTATGATCCTCCTTGCAGGACCAAAGCTGCCGTCACGCTGAAGCGCCACAGGTAGCCTCGTTCAGGACGGACCCTTCTGGCATTTGACCATTTAGCAGGTAAGCCTTGACTCCCTCCCCTCTTCTCCTTGTGCTGCTTGAAGGTAAAAAATGTGGCCTTCAGCAGGCTGGGAGAAGTGGCATGAGTTCTGAAAGATCTCCGCAGAGCTTGCAAAAGTTACTCTTCAGGGACAACAATTCCCAGAATCTCATACCCAGCAATAATGTTCCTCTAATTTTCCCAAGTGCTGTATGGGATCTCCAAATTGCAGAAATGAGTGGGAACACTGGGTCGGCTGCCCACGCCTGATGTAGCACTGCCTACCCAGATGGCTTGGAGAGAACGTTGTCCAGCAGGACCATCTTGGTGTCACATTTAAGGAGTTGTTGTTTTGAAAAATGACTTCTCTAAGCACTGAATCCTGACCCGTCAGTCCTTAGGGGGAGTCACCCTTCTCAACCGTAACTACAGTGGTGCCTCGCTAGACAGTTACCTTGCATGACCGTTTTTTCGCTAGACATTGACTTTTTGCAATCGCTATAGCAATTCGCAAAACAGTGATTCCTGTGGGGGAATTTCGCTGGACATTGTTTGGTCCCTGCTTCACAAACCAATTTTCGCTAGACAACGATTTTGACAGCTCCCTCCGTGCTCGCAAAACAGGTGTTTTCGGGACCTAAGCTTCACAAGACAGCTATTTAAACAGCTGATCGGCGGTTCGCAAAGCGGCTTTCCTATGGCCAATCTTCACTAGACAACGACGATTCTTCCACATTGGAACGCATTAAACAGGTTTAAATGCACTCCAGTGGGGAAATGCTTTTCGCTAGACGATGATTTCACTAAACAGCAATTTCAGTGGAACAGATTATCGTCGTCTAGCGAGGCACCACTGTAGTTGCAACAACACTGTTTATGGCTAAGGAGCCCATTTCCAAAGTCTGAGCAACTGGTGTTCTGAGGTTAACCTCCGTGTTGCTCAAGGGGTGCCAAACACTCCCTCTTTTGCCTTGTCACAGATCCTGAGCGAATGCTGGGGCGATGAGTGAACATCAGTTGAAGGACCAGCTCATTTTGGTACAACATAGTCCTGAGCTGATTAATGAAGGCTCGCTGGGGTGGGTGGAAGCAACACCTGGATGGTTTGGCCAGCTGCTGATGGGCTTTGTGTTGCGTATGTGTCCCTCCCCCCTTTTTATCCACCACCCACTTTAGTGGAATACCGGAAACGCGCAAATCTGGGTTTGAAACTATGAGCTCGGTCGCAGTGTTAACACCTGAGATCTTCGCTGAGCACCGCAGTGGCTTGAGGGATGAAGAAACCCGAGGTAAACGAAAAGTCTTCCTTTCTCCCAGAGCGGCTGGATGGCTGAGTGGTCGAGGTCTTCGGCTGCGGAGCCAGAGGTTGAGATTTCGATTCTCCACTGAATCGATGACTCATAGGGTCCTTTCGAGCTCTGCAGGTCTATGATAATGATGATGATGATTCTCTCCTGCATGTTAAAATTCCATGCACTAGCATCCATTTATACATAAACTTCTAAAGGTTTTGATTCTGTTTCCTCCATTGTTTTGCTTTCCTTGGCTACCGTGTTTCCCAGAAAATAAGACGGTCCTATATTAATTTTTGCTCCAAAAAAACGCATTAGGGCTTCTTTTCAGGGGATGTTTTATTTTACAGTCATGTCATCTGGTTGCTGCACAAGGGTGGAGGGCAGGGTTTCGCTTCACTGGGGCTTATTTTTGGGGTAGGGTTTATATGACGAGCATCCTGAAAAATCCTACTAGGGCTTATTTTCATGTTAGGTCTTATTTTGGGGCAAACGGGGTACATGATTTTAAAAACTTTTAAGAACTTAAAAAAAAAACCCTCAACTGGAATTCCTTCTTGTCTTCATGTGCTTTTTTTCCTCTTTCTGCTGGGCAGGTGGTGTTTCAGAGGATGAGGCCTATATCCCCACTTACCTGGAGGCTTTCCCTCCGCTCCCGGAAAAGGGAGGCCCGGGAGAAAAGTCCAGTGAGCTGACGGGAGTATGGAACAAAATCCGGCCTATCAAATCCTCTGTCATCACCCAGGTGAATATATGGATGCCTGAAAAGCCTGGCTACAGAGGAGAACGTAGCTTCCTTGCTTTCCTTATGGGGCAAAAGATTCCTTACCCCAAACCCCTGGAGTAGGCAAACCAAAGCCTGTGTAGTGAGAATGGTAAAGAAATTCCCCTGCTCGACTTTGAATCTGGGGTTCATCCCGGTGTAAGTTGATTCCTCCCAGTGTAAGTTGATTGGAAGAAGTACAGTGGTGCCTCGCTTAATGACGATAATCTGTTCCAGGAAAATCACCAAGCGAAAACATCGTAAAGCGAAATGAAAAACCCCATTGAAATGCATTCAAACCTGTTCAGTGCGTTCCAATGGGGTAAAAACTCACAGTCCAGCGAAGATCCTCCATACGGTAGCCATTTTTGCTGCCTGTATAGCGAGGAATCCGTCCCTAAACGCAGTGGGGAGCCATTTTAAGCACCCGGCGGCCATTTTGAAACCGCCGATCAGCTGTTTAAAAACCATCCTTTTGCAAAGAATCGGTTCCTGAAGCAGGGAACCAATCATTGCAAAGCGAAAAAACCTTATTTGGACCATTATCGTACAGCGATTTTGTCGTAATGCGAGGCAATCGTTAAGCGAGGCATCTCTGTAGAAGCATAGTTGAGGCCATGCTGTGTTGATATACGGAATCCTCTGTTACTTGGTGGTGGTAGTGAAGTTACTTTTCTGGACTGTACCTGCCAGAAATCCACCGCGGCCATGCTGGCTGTAAGGACCTGGGATTTTTGGCCTCAGATAGAAACCTTTTCACACTCGATTCACCAAACATGAGACTTTGGCAGAATACGACCTCAGCCAGCAACGAGACCCAATGGTATAAAGTATGTCCATCAGGGTCTGCTAGATAAGAAAGTGAAAGAAAGCCTCTCCATTCAGAGACTGTGCCTCTGATCATCAGAGACAGAAGGCAGATATGGGGGGGGGTCGTCACTCTTGTTCTCGAGTCCAGTTAGAGGGCTTTCGGGAAATTCTTGGTTGGCTCCTGTGGGAAGCAGGCTCCTGGCCTAGATTGGCCTTTTCGGTGGGGCTCTTCTTGTATAAGGTGGCGAAATGTTGTAAAGTGTTAAAATGTGCCATTTGGGTTTCCTCTTGGGCAGGTGTTTCACGTCCCCCTGGAAGAGCGACGCTATAAGGACAACAGCCAGTTTGGAGAAGGTGATGAGGCCAAGGTTTGTGTGGACATCATGCAGAAGACGGGGGCTCACATTGAGCTCTCCTTGGCCAAAGACCAGGGCCTTTCCATCATGGTGACCGGCAAACTGGACTCCGTCATGAAAGCTCGGAAAGAAATAGTCGCTCGGCTTCAGACCCAGGTAGGCGCAAAGCCCTTCTGCCCCGCACGCCGGCACAGCTGCTGGTAGAAATGTGCTCAAGGAAGCATGGATTAGATAAGCCGTAGAAGGGGTAGCCGTGTCCTAAGGTGGTGGAACCTTAAAAACTTTAATACTGTTTTAATGTGAACTTTTGTAAAGAAGTCCCCTTCATCAGACACTCGGATGAAGTGGACTTCTGCATGAAAGCTCATGTTAAAAAAAAAAGTTAAGCTTTAAGATGCAGCCACGTTTTTTCTCTTCTTTTACTTTTTATTTCTATTTTGCTTTTACCTATTATATGAGATAAAACTCAATAGAAGACCAAAACAGTTCATGGAGACCAATGGAACAAACCAGGAATTCTCAACCTTGGGCCACCCAGGGGTTCTTGGACTGCAATTCCCATCAGCCATCACCTCCATCTGTGCTGGCCAACGTTTCTGGGAATGGCAGTCCAAGAACATTTGGGGACCCAAGTTTGGGAACCATTGGTGTAGGTAATGCCCATTGGCATAGAGAAGGACCTTTGAATGTGTCTACCTGTTAACTTCCAAGCCATTGTGAAAGCTTTGGTTTTAAGACGCAAAGTTCTGAAGACGTTCGAACCAGGGTGGATTGCTTAGCAAACCTTTCCTTCAACAGAACAGCTTACTCCTGACATCGGTGACTTGCCCTTTAACCAGTGGCCGGCCTTTCCACCCATCTTCTGGAGCACTCTCCTGTACAGTTTGAGAGACAGAGGTCCTGTCAGGCTTTAGAGGCCCCCATTGCAAGCATACTAGTTTCATGCACTGGTTTTATGTGGGATCTGGTGGCGCTGCGGGTTAAACCGCAGAAGCCTTTGTATGCTGCAGGGTCAGAAGACCGGCCGTCGTAAGATTTGAATCCACGTGACGGAGTGAGCTCCCGTTGCTTTGTCCCAGCTCCTCGCCAATCTAGCTGTTCGAAAGCATGTAAAAATACGAGCAGATTAATAAGGACCACCTCTGGGAAGGTCACGGCATTCCGTGTCTAGTCGTGCTGGCCACGTGACCACGGAAACTGTCTTTGGACAAACACTGGCTCTACGGCTTGGAAACGGGGATGACCACCACGCCCCAGAGTCGGACACAACTGGACTAAGTGTCAAGGGGAACCTTTACCTTTACCTCCTGGATTGCTAGTATTTGTGACTGCTTTGTTTCTGTGGTCAATGCTTTTTAATTATTACGTCTTATTGTTCCAAAATGGTTTTTACATCCGGTTACCGGAGCGTTGTAATGTAAACAGGTTTGAAGAACCTTCTTATTGATAATTTGTTTGTTTGGAAGTATTTACATATTACTACATATAAGTGCTTCCAAACAAACAAAAATCAGTAAAAGAATGGTCCCAGCTCAGTGATAAGAATAGGCATCGTATTAGCAGTTTCTGAGGAAATTTCTGAGGTGGGCCACCTGTCCGGTAGCCGATCATCTAATCTCACTGAAAATAAAGAGTTAGATATAATGATTGAAAAACTTTGTTGTGCAGCATCACATTTTTAAGGATGGTGTCATCAGCAGCAAATTGCCACTGATTAAAAGGTTTCCTGTGGGACTTTTGGGGAGCACGTGGCTTTGTCACACTGTGTATGAGTCATAGGCACCCTGAATCTGCTTTTAATTAACATTGAATTGCTGTTGATGACAGCGTCCTCTCTTGTGCACGTGGAGCTATGGGACAAAAACGCAGCCAGTGTTTCATGCAACATTCTGTGGGGTGACAAGGGGGAGATAGACTTTTTTCAAAACCATGAAACACCCATTATTTGTTTTTCTCATTATTTTAGTTGTTCTTGTTATGCCAGCCGTATGAATGAGAGATCTCTAACATGTCCTGTCCTTGGCAGCTTAGCTGTCTTAATCTAAACATGCTATTGAAAAGAGGAAGACCAGATTACAAGATGGACTGACTCGCTAATGGAAGCCACAGGCTTGAGCTTACAGGAGCCGTGGAAGGGCAGGACATTTGGAAGATTGCTCATCCATAGGGTCACCGTAAGTTAGAGGTGACTTGACGGCACATAACCACTATCATGGGAGGCTTGGGAAAAATCAATTCATTTTTAACACATTTCTAAACCCACAAAACATTGGAGCACGCTATACAGTGGTGCTTTGCTTAACGGGTGCCCCATTTAACGACGAAATCGCATACTGACAAACTTTTTGTGATCGCTTTTGCGATTGCATTGCGATGTTTTAAATGGAGAAAATCGCTTTGCGATGATCAGTATCCTGTTTCGCTTACCGATTATCGCAAAGCGATGATTTTCTAACAGCTGATCGGCGGTTCCAAAATGGCCTCCGGGGAAAAAAAATGGCCGCCTGCTGTGTTTTTGCACGGATTCCTCGCTTACCGGGCAGCGAAAATGGCCGCCATATGGAAGATTTTCGCTTTAAGGTGAGTTTTAAGCCCATAGGAACACATTGGTTTCAGTTAATTCCTATGGGCTTTTTTAAATCGCATAGCGACGAAATCGCTTTGCAGCGATTGTTGCTGCACCGATTAACGTCGCTATGCAAGGCACCACTGTATTTTTGAGCAGGAGGGTATTGTACACAGTGGGTGCCACCTTCCTAAAGGCACCACTCTAAACTCTGCACAAGTGTTTCTCGTGAATTCAAGGGTTAGATAGGTCTGTAAGTAGGGTTGCTAGCATGCCAGTTAATCAAGTACAGTGGTGCCTCGCTTAACAAGCGCACCGTATAACGACGAAATCGCATACGATTAGGGTTTTGCGATCGCATTTACCGATGGCCCCTATGGGCGAAACTCACATAGCGAAGATCGGTAAGCGTTTCGCTTACCGATCTTCGCTTTGCGACGCCCGATGATCAGCTGTTCCGCGGCTCCAAAATGGCCGCCAGAAGCCCCGAAATGGCCGCCTGCAGCGTTTTCGCACCTTCCCCTCACTTACCGAGGGCGCGAAATGGCTGCCGGCTATGGGAAAACTTCGCTGAACTGTGAGTTTTGGCGCCTATTGGAACGCATTAAACTAAGTTTAATGTGTTCCAATGGCTTTCCCCGTTCCGTACAGCGATATTTTCACATAGCGAGGGTTAATGCGGAGCGGATTAACCTTGCTATGCGAGGCACCACTGTATGTAGTAGTTTGTACTGTGTTTGGAGAAGTATCTCGGTATTCCTGCCATTTTTTGCCTTCACAGGCTTCAGCTACTGTCACAATCCCTAAAGAACACCATCGCTTTGTGATTGGCAAGAACGGCGAGAAACTGCAGGAGCTTGAGTTGAAGACGGCCACCAAGATCAACATCCCGAGGCCTGAGGATCCTAGCAACCAGATTAAGATCACAGGCACCAAGGAAGGCATTGAGAAAGCTCGACATGAGATTTTGCTCATCTCAGCTGAGCAGGTGAGAGTTCCGGGGTTTGCTACCCTCACCTCCTTCCTTCCCAAAGTGGAAGGTCAGGTGTGAGAAATGGCACCGTAGGTTTTCTTTTCAAACTGTCTTGCAGTCTGTCGGAAAACACCAGCTCTTGATTTTTGGACCAGTAGTAAGGCAGTTTCCGCTGGACTTCAGCATCTTGTTCCACACTTTGGCTGGGAAAATGTAATTTGATTTCTACTTGAAGGAATAAAACATGGCTACTCTAGATATACTCTAGCTTTGAGTCCTTTGCTGAATAGCGACCGGTTTAGGTTAGGGTAGCAACACATAGGCCATAGGGTTCTGCAGGCTTGTGAATGTTCATTAACAGTAATATGAAAACGAATTAAATAAATGAGATTTGTGTTCCAGGAAGCATGAGTTTCTTATAACGCAAGCTCTGCATGCTTTGATCTGACCAAAACATCGCAAAAACATTTTGCTCTTCTCTTCTCTTTCCTTTCCTTCCCTCCCTCCTTCCTTCCCTTTTCTTCCCTTTTCTTTTCTCTTTTTCCTTTTTTTCCTTTCCTTTTCTTCCCTTCTTCCAGTGTTAAAACAGAAGTTCTGTTTCCAGTTACTGATGCGTCTTGGCACTGGTGTGGAGCAATGTTATACCCTTGATCCATCGAAGCCATTGCTTTAGATAGTGAACTCACAAGAGCTGATTTGTTTTTGTGTATTTTTCTTTTCTGGTCACGAAAGGAAGGACTCTTGCCCCTGAACTATGTTTGAACGGATTGGGCCTGCTGCATTCAGCTCCCAAAAAGAACCCTGCATAGTAGCCAGCAATCTCTTACATGATTGTTTGTGTCGGGAAAGAAGACTCCTAGCATGAGCATGGAGAGTATTTTGAGGGAAATGGCTCAAAAAAGTACAACAAGGGGCCAAGATTCGGTCTTCTGGTGTTGGATGTGCGACAACGGGCAGACATCATCTGTGGGTCCCTTGACCGCTCCTTGTTCTCACGTGGACCAGTGCCTTTCCCCTTGTGTTCCCAGGATAAGCGTGCAGTGGAGCGTTTGAATCTGGAGAAGGCCTTCCACCCCTTCATCGCTGGCGCCTTCAACAAAGTTGTCCAGGAGATCATGCAGGAGACGGGGGCCCGCATCAACATCCCACCGCCTAGTGTCAACAAAGATGAGATCATCATCACCGGTGAGAAGGAGCCAGTCTCTCAAGCCCTCCTCCGGATTCGCAAGATCTATGAAGATAAGGTGGGTGGTTGACAGAGAGGAGAGCCCTGGGCGGCACTTAAAAGCCCTGATTCTTGTCTTTTGGGCTGCCAGAATTTGGCTTGGACATAGAGAATCTCTTAACCGGGGCCCACGGTGGCTACCCAGTGTTGCAGTTCCCAAACATGTCTGCACCATGATCCTTTTTTAATTATCATTTTAAAGAAAACCTCACAGTTTCCCCACCTCTCCATTGCCGTCATCCAACCCGACCCGTCTTAACAAAAGTTCAAGTTCCAATCTGAAAATTAAGAGCGCAAAAGCATAGTACCAATGATTTTTAGTTAAACATAAGAACAAATGTGTATTGTTTAACAAAAGCTTAAATGGTAAGGAAAATGTTTATTACAGAAATTTGTTCAGGCTGAGAAGTATGGTTTGTGTGTATGAATGAGAAATCTTAGGATTGTGTCCCTATTTGGAATTTCGTCACACACCCTCGGTTCCTTACTCCTGTCTGGGGAATTTTTTTCCAATGGAAAATGTTGCATTTCCCCCCCTATGCGAGTGTTTCATTTAAGACGACCAAGTTGTTTGTATTGCTCAGGTGACAGATCTAATCTGCTCAAATTGCATCTAAATAGTATTTGTGTAAAGGCAGTCCTGTATTAAAGAGGGCAGAAGAGTCATCTTCTAGCGTGGCACTCCAATTATGCCTTGTTCAGTCTATGTTTGCTAGAATGTGGAAAAGTTGCTTCTCAGGGCTACAGCTCCCACGGTCTTCCAGCCAAGACAGCCACTGGGCCCAGCTGTAAGTCGCATGGAACTTTCTAGCTCTGCTTTTAATACCTGCTCCCAATTAATCAGGGATGCTGGGGAGAGAAAAGTACAGGAAGTGTTTTTCCTTGACGTTAATGACAATCATACACTAAGGTCAGTGTTGCAGCCCTGGCTTTAATGTGTGAGAAATGGGTAAGCACTGCAGTCATTCCTGCTTCATTTTGGAATAGTTCTTCTCTTTTTTTTGAAGTGCATCGTGGGAGGTTCTTTGTGTGGCAGCATTTGCAGAGTCCTCTGTCGTTAAGGCAGGTTTTCTGTCTTTCTCAGAAGCGCAAGACCACCACGATCTCAGTAGAGGTGAAGAAATCCCAGCACAAATACATCATTGGCCCCAAGGGCAACACCCTGCAGGAGATTTTGGATGCCACCGGGGTTTCGGTGGAGATGCCGCCCCTGGAAAGCAGCTCAGAGACCATCATCCTCCGGGGGGAGCCCGACAAGCTGGGCCCGGCTTTGACCCAAGTCTATGCCAAGGTAATGCCATGTGTACCATGATGCATTGCAGCACGCTAGACCACCAGCTGGCCTTGATTTCCTCCCATGAACTGGGCAATAGGAAACCGAGTGGGTAATTTCTCTCTCTCTCTCTCTCTTTGTAGCATTTAAAGGCTTTTCCCCCACTGTCATCTTTGATTCCCCAATTTACAGCATCTTGTGTGTTTTAAAAGAAGCTGCCATATCCTGTCAAACTCATCTTGTTTTGCTTTTAGACAGGATAATATAGTAGCATTTAAGCGGCTCGGTCGGTTGACCCTTTTCTCACAGGTTCACTGCCTGCGTTGGGTGCGTGTGTGTGTCGCCCATGAGGATTGAAATGGATGCTGACGAAAATGACGTGATAGCACATAGAGGCCGAACGCAGGCATTACAGCACGGAAACAGTGCTGGGTGTAGAGAAGTGCCAGCACTGAAATCCGGAGAGGATCTCTAGTTTCTGCACAGGAAATCAACATTGAAGCCTCGTCTTAAAAGTACCTCTGCTGATTGACCGTGTCCGTCTCTCTTGTACCCCCACCCCACCTCTCTTTTAGGCGAAGAGTGTGATGGTAGCTGAAGTAATGGCCCCAGCTTGGTTGCATCGTTTTATAATCGGAAAGAAAGGACAGAACATTGGCAGGATCACCCAGCAGCTTCCAAAGGCAAGTGATCCTTCTCCATCCAACTTAGAGCTCGAGTGATGGACTTGAAAGCTGCATGGCTTGTTAATGGCGTGCTTCAGTTTTAATTCCCAAGATATTACACTTTCCTGCTAAGAGAAAGTTGATGATCCTCGTGATATCTAAGAAGCCCACAGGTGGGCCGTGTTGGGTTTTGTGAAATAATTTTGGGGAGTTCTGGTGTATATTTCCTTGACTGTCCTTTAATGGCTTGCTGGAATTGATAGCAAATCAGCCTGTCCGTAGGTTTTGGCCTGACTTAGTCATCAGAGGCTGAAAGAAGGAAACGTCTAGAAGGGTTGCCTCCTTACTCGCCTGGGAGCACTAGGAGCTCGCTGGTGGAGAGCAGCCATTCTAAAGTTGCCTTAAAGAACCCCTCCTGGGTCTACCTGTACATATCTAGACTAAAAAAAAACATATTTGTGTATTTCTCCACCACCTTCTTTTTATGGCCAGCATCCCAAAACTGTAATTTCTTGTTTATGTTCAGGTTCACATTGAATTCACGGACGGCGATGAGAAGATCACACTGGAAGGACCCACTGAAGAGGTGGAGTTGGCTCAGGCACAGATACAGGAAATCATCCGGGATCTGGTGAGCCTTCCTCCTAATCACAGGAAGCAATTATCTTCCTCGCCCCCCCTCCCCAGTTACCTTCCTCTTATCAACCCTTAATTGAGTGGCAAAACTGATTTTCTCATTGTCTTGAGAAAAGGCTCACAGTCCTAAGAGTAGGAAAGGGCGCAGAATACACCGGCCAGTCTCCTAGGCAGATAGTTGTGCCCTGCAAGGGAAATCTTCAGAAGGGGCTTGGAATAGGCTGTGATGTCCACTAGCATGGAAAGAGAATAAAATATAAGGCTGTAGGTCAGCAGAACTTGGTCTTTGTAAGATACTTTGAAGTTGATAGAGGAATAAAAAGAAAAGGCCCCATTTTCCTCTCACCTGGTCAAGGGGGTGGGGGAAATGGAGCTGCTGTTTAGTACAGTTCCTTCTGCAAAATATCTGAAAGACAGCACAATTACTTAACAGAATAAATTGTGTCTGTTCACTTCAGCCTCCTGCTGTGCTGGCAACTTGGGCAGGAATGTATGGAGGTGGCCGGGCCACAGAGCATTGTAGCTGCTCTTCGTTGTTTGAGCCCCCCCCCCCTTTGCAAATGGTTTCCGTTGGGTGCTTTGTAAAGGTATTCTCTTGCAATGGAGCTGCCCCTGGCAATCATGAGACCACCTCGGTTTTATTCCTCCGTCTTCTCCCTGATTGTCTTTTTCAGCTCAGTCGCATGGACTACACCGAAGTCCTCATCGACCAGCGGTTCCACCGTCACCTGATAGGGAAGAACGGAGCCAACAGTGAGTTTTTCGTGTGTAGGCATAAGAGAGCCATTCCTCTCATCCTCTTGGTAGATCTGGAGGTCTGTATGAGACCGTTGGAGATCTCACTAAGTAATGCTCGCAAGACTTCTGTACATGCACATACACCCTGCACTTTTGGAAGGCTGAAAGTTTTTCTGTCTGTGTGGTTTCATCATTTTCTGCTCCTTTCCAAGGTCTGTGAGATTGGGAAACACAGATCTTTCGTAACGGTCCTTTAATTGTTTTCTGACCAACCTTGGGAACATCCAAGGCAGGTATCGACGGGGGGAAGGCACCTATCTCCTCCCCACCCTCAATTCCCATAATTAAAAAAAAAATCCAGAGACTTCTAGTTAACCTTCTGTTGCCCAGTCTCTTCAGTGCTATATAAATAAAAGATTTATATTGCAAGTTAATGGCTAGGCAGCAAGCTGCTAGCCTGTTGTGACCTCAGATGATGTGATGGAGTGGAGTTTGGCTATGGATTTTATGTAGACTCTGGACAGTGGGCATCTTTTCCCCATTGTTTTTATCCTCAGAACAATCCTCGGGGGGGGGGGTTACTTTAGATTAAGAAGGGATGATTCATCAGCTGATCTTCATGGCGGAGTGGGAACGTGAGGCTGGTTTGCTCTGCTTCCACTTTAGCACTGCAACCAATGTACTCACACAGTATTCTGCAGCTCGTGTCAAAGGAAGTGTGTGTGTGTGTGTTACTCTCTTTTCCCACTGTGTGTTGACGCAGTTAACCGCATCAAGGAACAGCACAAAGTCTCTGTCCGCATCCCCCCCGACAATGAGAAGAGCAATCTGATCCGGATTGAGGGGGACCCCCAGGGGGTTCAGTTGGCCCGCAAGGAGCTGCTGGAGATGGCTGCCCGTATGGTAAGGGAAGCTGGTGTTCTTCGGCCCACTCTCCTCTCTGCTTTGTTTCTCAAGGCTGGGTTTGGGGTGGAAGGAAAGTCGGGATTGGGGCCCAAGAGGTGGTGGAGAGACGGAGGCTTGTAGGAACAAGCGGTTGATCTGTGCTATTAAGTCCTTTCTGACCTCTGCTGCCCCTAGTAGGGTTTTTGAGTTTGAAGAGTAGTTTTCCGATGGATTTCCATGACTGAGCACAAATTTGAACCTAGGTCTCTTGAGTCTTAGTCTGACACCATTATCCACTGCGTCGTACTGGCTCGTGCAGGGTTGCAAGAGGGTTGCTCTTACTCTGTCTCTTCTGTGTAAGAGAAACAGCAGAAGGCTTGAGTTCAGTGGAGCGACGCCCGTTTTGCATGCAGACAAGAGTAGGCTCAAGGGCTGCCATCTCCATTCAAAAAAATATCTCATTGCCTTCCAAATAAGGGCCTTGAGGGGCCAATCACCTGACTCGGAAGACGGTGGTGCCGTTCTGTGTGTGTAACTGGGAAGCTGATAGGTGGGAGGGAGCTCAAAGGAAGTTAGGCTTTGAATCGCCCTCCGGGAAGCTCATGGGGAGAGGAGAGGGTTTTGCACTGTTGCCTTTCCCTTGGACTTTCCACATCGACCAGTCCACGTGGGTCAAAAATGAACTTGCTGAGTTGTGGGACCAATGACAACACTGACAACGGCGGGCCTTTCCTAGGAAAACGAACGCACAAAGGACCTGATCATTGAACAGCGCTTCCACCGAACGATCATTGGACAGAAAGGCGAGAAAATCAAGGAGATCCGTGACAAGTTCCCAGAGGTAGTTATTTATTTTAAAATATTTTAACCCCATCTTTCTCCTTAAAAAGGACCCAAGGGAGGAGGGAAAAAGTCAAAACCTAGTGCGTCCACTTGGTCTTACGATTTTGCTTGTGCATCCTGACTTGGTGCTGCCCTGTAGGTCATCATCAACTTCCCCGACCCCTCCCAGAAGAGCGACATTGTGCAGTTGCGCGGGCCCAAAAACGAGGTGGAGAAGTGTGCCAAGTATCTCCAGAAAGTCATTGCAGAGCTGGTGAGTTTTCCACGGGTCGGCGCCTTCCATCGGCTTGAATGTGTTTGGTTTTTCCTTTACTTCTCAAAAAGCGTCCCTGCGCACTTGAGGGTAAGGAAACATATCTTCTCTCCTCTGTTCAGGCTGCAGAGGGCACAGCATCAGGAAGAAAGCGTTTCTGAGCCTCCATCTTGTCCTGCTTAGGCAGGAGGTCATCATCATGCCTCACTATGAGACAGTGGCCAAATTTATGTTAGCTGCAGCCTTAGGTGCACGTCAGTGTAAGCTTTTGGTGTCGTACACCAGCCATAGGACACGGTGTGCAATAGCAAACTCCTACACTGACGTCTTGATTTCCTGCAGTTCCTTACTGAAATCTGTACCACTGGAGTTAAGTTCCTCGACTCTGAAACAATCTCCTGTCGGAGGTTCGCCTGGCACCCTCGCTGAGTGTTTTTAAGAGCCAACTTAAGACCTGGCTCTTTAGGCAGGCCTTCCCTCTGGTCACTACTTGATTTTCTTTTCTATTTTAATTTCCATTTTTTGCTGTTTCCCATCTGGAATGATACTAATATTATTGGTTTAAGTTGTTGTTTTAATTGTTTATATGTTGTTCCTACTGTGAGCCTCCCAGAGTAGATTTAGTCTAGATGGGTGGGATACAAATCTAATGAATGAATGAATGAATACATAAATAAATAAATGTTGGCATAAATAAATGATCAGAGTGTATTTTGGGAGATACGAAGCCTAAACTGATTCAAATTGGGCAACTAAGCTTGAGGTGGGACAGGGTGGTGGGTTTTGCTGTTGACAGGAGAGCAAAACTCGAGTTTCCTTATCTTAACTCCAGTTCTCTTTATGCTGTAGATCGAAAACAGCTTTTCCATCCCGGTTCCTATCTTCAAGCAGTTCCACAAGAACATTATCGGGAAAGGAGGCGCTAACATCAAAAAGGTAAAGGAGGGAAGGCGCCTTTCCTGGCGCATCTTCCTTTTCAGAATGTTGCAGAGAGCGGATGTTTATGTGTGCTGTTTGGGGACTGTGACTGGGGGCCGTTTCTTACAGAGAGAGGCCCAAGGGGTGAACAGAGCTGTAGGGGGAACGTTTGTTTTCGTTAATTTTTTTAAGCATAATTCCTAGATTCTCTGAGACACCGTAGCTTGCTTAAGAGCTGCCGTGCAAAAACGTAATTTTCCCCCATCAAATTTAGCATCGTATTACAATTTCTGTTAAAAAGACTTAGGAAGGAAGCTTAGGTTTTGACTCGTTGATCTTAAGGGGGGTGCGGTGGGGTTGTCCCACCCTGCTCCTCGCTCTGCTCCTCACTTCCCTTCCACGTCTGGATTGCCATCAGCCCTCTTTATCCTCCTGCCGGTTTCACCCTTTCCATACCCTCTCCAAGGGCTGCTCCCGATCAAGTTCGTTACGGTAGCCTAGCTTTGAGGGGTCCGGGTTTGATGTTATCTCTTCACAAATAGATTCGAGAGGAAACCAATACCAAGATTGACCTCCCCACAGAAAACAGCAACTCAGAGGTGATCCTGATCACAGGGAAGAAAGCCAACTGCGAGGGCGCCCGGGACCGCATCCTGGCCATCCAGAGGGAGCTGGTGGGTGTGTGAAACAGTTTCCTCCTTTTGAATGTTCTCCGAGAGAAACTACCACAAAATGTATTCTGCTCTGTTGGATGCCTAGCTACGGAGCCAGAGGTTGGGAGTTCGATTCCCCGCTGTGGCACCATTAGAAGGAAGGAATGGTAGACCACTCTTGAGTATTCTCTACCTGGAATACTCTAGAAAAGATTGCTTTTTCCAGTTAGTTTTCCACTGCATGGTGGGGATTTTTTAATATCTTGGCTTATGGAAATTGGAGATGGTGGTAGAAATCCTGTTGCGCAGCTCTGTCTGCACGGCAGGGAATGACATCAGCGGCGGCGGCCAATCGCTGGTGATTAAATACTTTGGTGTGCACATAATTCAAGCACAATGTGGAAAAGTCATGTTCATTCCAAACTCAACATAAAGGAAATGTCTGATCAGCAGTAATTTGCTGCTGATGGTGACATCACCCCTGGTGCACACACAATTTGAGTCACCCTGTCTGCTTGGTTGTCTCCAATTAGTTTACTTCACTCAGCATCGTCAGTGTTAATTTTATGAGCATTATGGAAATTTTCTTCCACTTGTCAAAGATGCCTGGAACTGTGAAATACATATATATCAGGAAATAAGATTTTACTTATTGTGGTTTAATGCTATATCCAAAGCTTTATTTGGCAGTTATTACAGTTCTTGCAGATATTTTAAGGGGTGACTGCTTAGTGACCCTGTTTGGACATAGTGTTCGTGGCTTAAGCCCAGAGTCACTTTCCAGTCCCTCATGTTCATGTACCTCCACAACCCCTCTCTCTCCTCTCTGGCTTGCATACGTCACTTTGGCCTGATTTTTAATTAGGGTTCATTTTTATGTCCATGACCAGGAACTTTGGCTTAATGTTGGCTTACAAGTCAAGATCTGAAATATAGTGGTGCCTCGCTAGACGATGTTAATCCGTTCCATTGAAATCGCTGTCTTGTGAAACATTGTCTAGCGAAAAGTGTTTCCCCATTGGAATGCATTGAAACCCGTTTAATGCGTTCCAATGGGGGGAAAATCGTCGTTTTGCGAAGATTGCTCATAGGGAAACTGCTTTGCGAAGCGCCGATCGGCTGTTAAAAATCGCTGTCTTGTGAAAAATGGCCCCGAAAACACCCGTTTTGCGAAGTGCCGATCAGCTGTTAAAATCATCTTGCGAAAAACGGTGCCGAAAAAAACCCGCTTTGCGAAGCACGGACCAAATCATTGTCCAGCGAAATTCCCCCATAGGAAACATCATTTTGCAAACCGCTATAGCGATCGCAAAAACTTAGCATCATGCGGATTTGTCATTTAGCGGGGTAATTGTCTAGCGTCACTGTAAGTCTAAGGCCAACGTATCAAAACCTGTTTTGAAAGAGCAAGATAAGAACATGTCCCTCATTCCTCAATTAATAAATTGTGGTTAGTGGAGCTAATGTGGCCCCAGGAGTGGCAGTCATTCAGGATCAGACACTTTGGCTTTACTTTAACGGTGGCACTGGCAACTGTGAACCACTGGATAGCTCAGTGGTTTAGTTATCTAGTTGCAGAGCCAGAGGTTGGGAGTTCAATTCTTTCCTTTGACTCCTAGCAGGAGAACCAGCCTGGGTGGCCTTGGGCAAGCTGCATAGTCCAGGGGCGCCCCTAGAGGAAGGGAATGATAAACCACTTTTGAGTATTCTCTATCTGGAAAATCCTGAAAAGGTTTTCCATAAGTGAGAACTGATTTGACCACACATGAATTTAACCCCCCCCTCCCACACATACACAATTGTTTGGCTAAAGGTATCATTTTCTATGGAAAGTAAATCACAAATTGAACGTGACAAGCGTGTTTCCCATTCCACTGCCCCAATTTTACTTTTATTCCCTCTTTTTTGCTGCTGTGTAGTTTTGCAAAATCATACGTTTCTAAAACCAGGAAATGATCCGGAATTTTTCTCACTCCCATGTCAGTTCTCTTTGAGCTTGCCTTGAAAGGTGGGGCTACCACACAATCAAGAAGGACGTGCCATGAGCCGAGAGAGGGTTGTGTAGCCCCTATCTTGTCTTCCTCTGCCTCTCCTTTCCTCCCAGGCGAACATCAAAGAAATGGATGTGTCTATACCAGCCAGACTGCACAATTCGTTGATCGGGGCGAAGGGGCGGCTAGTGCGCTCCATCATGGAGGAATGTGGCGGGGTGCACATCCATTTTCCTTCCGAGGGCTCAGGCAGCGACAAGGTCACCATCCGAGGACCCGGCGAAGAGGTGGAGAAAGCAAAACGCCAGCTTTTGCAGCTAGCGGAAGAGAAGGTACCCCTTCGGATCGGGGCCCCCAAATCCCAGTAACGGGTGGGTTCCAGAATGGAAGTTCCCACTAAGCTTAGGGATGTGACACGGATGAGATAATATAGATACAGATATCTCTATAATAGATTTTTAACTGATATCTATAATTATATACTGATGTGCAGGGGATCTGTTCCAAGCTGCCCACTCCCACGGATTCTGAAAAACGCAGATTATAGCAAACTCTCCCTCTCGTGGCCAGTTCCGGCAATTTCATCTTTGGAAATATATATTTCTAGGATTTTTCTTTTAATGCAATGCTGCCTTGCTTAACGACGTTAATTCGTTCCAGCAAATATGCTGTAGAGCGAAAACGTCGTAAAGTGAAATAAAAAAGCCCATTGAAATGCATTGAAAACCTTTTCCTGCCGGTTTCACCCTTTCCATACCCTCTCCAAGGGCTGCTCCCGATCAAGTTCGTTACGGTAGCCTAGCTTTGAGGGGTCCGGGTTTGATGTTATCTCTTCACAAATAGATTCGAGAGGAAACCAATACCAAGATTGACCTCCCCACAGAAAACAGCAACTCAGAGGTGATCCTGATCACAGGGAAGAAAGCCAACTGCGAGGGCGCCCGGGACCGCATCCTGGCCATCCAGAGGGAGCTGGTGGGTGTGTGAAACAGTTTCCTCCTTTTGAATGTTCTCCGAGAGAAACTACCACAAAATGTATTCTGCTCTGTTGGATGCCTAGCTACGGAGCCAGAGGTTGGGAGTTCGATTCCCCGCTGTGGCACCATTAGAAGGAAGGAATGGTAGACCACTCTTGAGTATTCTCTACCTGGAATACTCTAGAAAAGATTGCTTTTTCCAGTTAGTTTTCCACTGCATGGTGGGGATTTTTTAATATCTTGGCTTATGGAAATTGGAGATGGTGGTAGAAATCCTGTTGCGCAGCTCTGTCTGCACGGCAGGGAATGACATCAGCGGCGGCGGCCAATCGCTGGTGATTAAATACTTTGGTGTGCACATAATTCAAGCACAATGTGGAAAAGTCATGTTCATTCCAAACTCAACATAAAGGAAATGTCTGATCAGCAGTAATTTGCTGCTGATGGTGACATCACCCCTGGTGCACACAGAATTTGAGTCACCCTGTCTGCTTGGTTGTCTCCAATTAGTTTACTTCACTCAGCATCGTCAGTGTTAATTTTATGAGCATTATGGAAATTTTCTTCCACTTGTCAAAGATGCCTGGAACTGTGAAATACATATATATCAGGAAATAAGATTTTACTTATTGTGGTTTAATGCTATATCCAAAGCTTTATTTGGCAGTTATTACAGTTCTTGCAGATATTTTAAGGGGTGACTGCTTAGTGACCCTGTTTGGACATAGTGTTCGTGGCTTAAGCCCAGAGTCACTTTCCAGTCCCTCATGTTCATGTACCTCCACAACCCCTCTCTCTCCTCTCTGGCTTGCATACGTCACTTTGGCCTGATTTTTAATTAGGGTTCATTTTTATGTCCATGACCAGGAACTTTGGCTTAATGTTGGCTTACAAGTCAAGATCTGAAATATAGTGGTGCCTCGCTAGACGATGTTAATCCGTTCCATTGAAATCGCTGTCTTGTGAAACATTGTCTAGCGAAAAGTGTTTCCCCATTGGAATGCATTGAAACCCGTTTAATGCGTTCCAATGGGGGGAAAATCGTCGTTTTGCGAAGATTGCTCATAGGGAAACTGCTTTGCGAAGCGCCGATCGGCTGTTAAAAATCGCTGTCTTGTGAAAAATGGCCCCGAAAACACCCGTTTTGCGAAGTGCCGATCAGCTGTTAAAATCATCTTGCGAAAAACGGTGCCGAAAAAAACCCGCTTTGCGAAGCACGGACCAAATCATTGTCCAGCGAAATTCCCCCATAGGAAACATCATTTTGCAAACCGCTATAGCGATCGCAAAAACTTAGCATCATGCGGATTTGTCATTTAGCGGGGTAATTGTCTAGCGTCACTGTAAGTCTAAGGCCAACGTATCAAAACCTGTTTTGAAAGAGCAAGATAAGAACATGTCCCTCATTCCTCAATTAATAAATTGTGGTTAGTGGAGCTAATGTGGCCCCAGGAGTGGCAGTCATTCAGGATCAGACACTTTGGCTTTACTTTAACGGTGGCACTGGCAACTGTGAACCACTGGATAGCTCAGTGGTTTAGTTATCTAGTTGCAGAGCCAGAGGTTGGGAGTTCAATTCTTTCCTTTGACTCCTAGCAGGAGAACCAGCCTGGGTGGCCTTGGGCAAGCTGCATAGTCCAGGGGCGCCCCTAGAGGAAGGGAATGATAAACCACTTTTGAGTATTCTCTATCTGGAAAATCCTGAAAAGGTTTTCCATAAGTGAGAACTGATTTGACCACACATGAATTTAACCCCCCCCTCCCACACATACACAATTGTTTGGCTAAAGGTATCATTTTCTATGGAAAGTAAATCACAAATTGAACGTGACAAGCGTGTTTCCCATTCCACTGCCCCAATTTTACTTTTATTCCCTCTTTTTTGCTGCTGTGTAGTTTTGCAAAATCATACGTTTCTAAAACCAGGAAATGATCCGGAATTTTTCTCACTCCCATGTCAGTTCTCTTTGAGCTTGCCTTGAAAGGTGGGGCTACCACACAATCAAGAAGGACGTGCCATGAGCCGAGAGAGGGTTGTGTAGCCCCTATCTTGTCTTCCTCTGCCTCTCCTTTCCTCCCAGGCGAACATCAAAGAAATGGATGTGTCTATACCAGCCAGACTGCACAATTCGTTGATCGGGGCGAAGGGGCGGCTGGTGCGCTCCATCATGGAGGAATGTGGCGGGGTGCACATCCATTTTCCTTCCGAGGGCTCAGGCAGCGACAAGGTCACCATCCGAGGACCCGGCGAAGAGGTGGAGAAAGCAAAACGCCAGCTTTTGCAGCTAGCGGAAGAGAAGGTACCCCTTCGGATCGGGGCCCCCAAATCCCAGTAACGGGTGGGTTCCAGAATGGAAGTTCCCACTAAGCTTAGGGATGTGACACGGATGAGATAATATAGATACAGATATCTCTATAATAGATTTTTAACTGATATCTATAATTATATACTGATGTGCAGGGGATCAGTTCCAAGCTGCCCACTCCCATGGATGCTGAAAAACAAAGATTATAGCAAACTCTCCCTCTCATGGCCAGTTCTGGCAATTTCATCTTTGGAAATATATATTTCTAGGATTTTTCTTTTAATACAGTGCTGCCTTGCTTAACGACGTTAATTCGTTCCAGCGAATACGCTGTAGAGCGAAAACGTCATAAAGTGAAATAAAAAAGCCCATTGAAATGCATTGAAAACCTTTCAATGCGTTCCAATGGTCTAAAAACTCACCATCCAGCGAAGATCCTCCATAGGGGTGGCCATTTTCGGTGCCTGTAGAGCGAGGAATCCATCCTAAAACACAGCGGGGAGCTATTTTGAGCACCCGGTGACCATCTTGAAAACCCAACGATCAGCTGTTTTGATCGTTGTAATGTGAAGAATCGGTTTTCGCAAAGCGAAAAAAACCATTTAAAACATTGTTTTCATGACATTGTCGTGAAGCAGATTCATAGTTATATGGGGTAATCGTTAAGCAGGGCAGGGCACAACTGTATTTTTTACCATGGATAAACAAATCAACAGATACTGATCCCGTGGATAAACGGGTCCTACAGTACATAAAATGTCATGCCCCCAGTTTCCACTGGCCAGAGGATACATCCCTGAGCCGCTTGGATGCTCGGTGCTGTTCCCGATTCTTGACCTCTCCTCCCGATTCTTGACCTCTGCTCGATGTTTCTGCCGTCCTCCTTCCCAGCAAATCCACAACCACTCCATGGAGCTGCACGCCAAGCCTGAGTATCACAAGTTCCTGATTGGCCGCGGAGGCGCCAACATTCGCAAAGTGAGGGATCGAACCGGGGCCCGCATCATCTTCCCCACTCCCGAAGACAAGGACCAGGAGCTCATCACCATCATGGGGAAGGAGGATGCGGTGCGACAAGCCCAGGAAGACCTGGAGAACCTTATCCGGAATCTGGTAGGGTTTCATGGGTGGTGGAAGAGCATTAGGGGGTCTTCGGGTGTAGCATAATGATGGCCAGTGTCATTTATGGGGCACAGCAAACCAAGGAAATGAGGCTCCCCCCTACACTGTCATACACACTAGGCGTTCCCTCTGTGTATAGATAGGGGCAGGTTATCTCTGTGTATGCCTCTCACGCTCAGTAAACTGGGAAGGAAGGCGCTGTATGGCACTTCGGCCCAAGCAGGCCTTAGGAGGAGGGACTCCCTGACTCATTGCTTCCTTCCTGGGAATGGAACAAAGAGGGTTGAATCAGAGCGCCCTTCCCTTTTCTCACCAAAAACAGGCTTAATCCTCATTTCCTGCGGCCACGTTTTTTCAGGAGGCCGACATGGGGATGGGTGAGCAAGACCCTTCACTACAGGGTGGATGAAAGTCAGCAATGTTTAAAAAATTAAATTGATTAAAATCACAGTAATTTTAAAAATTAAATCATGATTTAAATCAAATCCACCCTGCTTCATGACATGATGGTGAGGAGCATTCTAGAGGGAGAAAGTGGTGGTTTTCAGAGCAAATTCTGTCACTCGCTGCCTTTTCTGGCAGCAGAGGGAAAGTCAGCAATTCTTTATTTTATTTGTTTGTTTATTGTTTTACTTTATTATTTAGGGAGAATTTGTGCCACAGGTGGGAGAGGAGAAAGGTGTTGAAAGAGTAACATTTTGTCCCCTGACTGGCCTAGGCGACCACGGTCCTTCACTTGCTGTGGGTAAAAGAGAGGAAGGTGTTATGTACTGGTATACCTCAGGCAGCAAATTGTGTTGGGCTGGCCCTGGTATTAAGACATGCAGATGCACACACGTCTGTTCAGCATTGTGGAAAAGTGGCTTTGTTGAAAGTTCCTGCAATGAGTTAGATCCCAGGTAAACCTCCTTTCAAGGAATTCAAAGTTTGAATGGAAGTTCGGCCACACCGAGAGCGTCTTTTGTCTAAGGGCAAAATACTTCCAACTGTGTGGAAACTCAAATCAAATCCACTTCTCTTGTTCTAGTCCCGAGTAATGACCAGTCCCTGGTATATATTGTTAGAGGCACAGTGAATGTCAGCTGGATGTTGGTTTGGTTCTTGGCCAAAAGACCCGTGGTCTCATTAAGAATGCCCACCCATAACTCTTGCCCATGTTATCCTGTCGTTCCGCCTCCTCTCCTTTATCACCAAAATGTCACGGTGTAATGTTAATGAAAGGGGACGTGGTGGCGCTGTGGGCTAAACCGCAGAAGCCTGTGCTGCAGGGTCAGAAGACCAAGCAGTCATAAGATCGAATCCACGCGATGGAGTGAGCGCCCGTCGCTTGTCCCAGCTCCTGCCAACCTAGCGGTTCGAAAGCATGCAAATACAAGTAGATAAATAGGTACCACCTCAGTGGGAAGGTAACAGCGTTCCGTGTCTAAGTTGCACTGGCCATGTGACCACGGAAGATTGTCTTCGGACAAACGCTGGCTCTATGGCTTGGAAACGGGGATGAGCATCGCCCCCTAGAGTCGAACACGACTGGACAAAAATTGTCAAGGGGAACCTTTACCTTTACCTTAATGTTAATGAAGGATTCTGGAGCTTCCAGAAACTCTGAGTTTCAGAAGAGATCCGGATCATTCTGCAAGGCCAAATCATAAGGATTTTTTTTCCTGCCCAGGATAATGTTGTGGAAGATTGGATGGTGGTGGACCCCAAATACCACCGCCACTTTGTTGCACGGCGGGGCCATGTGCTGCGGGAGATTGCAGAAGAATATGGTGGTGTCACAGTGAGCTTCCCTCGCACTGGTGTCCAGAGTGATCGTGTGACGCTCAAGGGCGCCAAGGACTGCGTGGAGGCTGCCAAGAAGCGCATCTTGGAGATCATCAGTGACCTAGTAGGTCTTTGCCTGTCTTGGTTTAGGTGGGGAGGGATGTGATTTAATAGTTATTTTTCTCTCCTGGATGGGTCCTGATAGTACCCCCATGTCATGCGGCTGAAAGTCCTGATAGTACCCCCATGTCTTCAGAACTGCTAGAGCATGTTGTTTCTAACTTGGTTCTCTCCTGGAATACATCTTTTTGGGGGGAAGGGGTCTCAAAAGCTACATAAAATCTAGCCAATAATGTAATGATGCCTGTAAGAATTTTTATTCATGTGTATTGATAAAGAGTAGACAACACCTTAAAAAGCAGAGACAGCACCTTGCCGACAAAGGTCCACATAGTTAAAGCTGTGGCTTTTCCAGTAGCGATGTGTGGAAGTGAGAGATGGACCATAAAGAAGGCTGACTGCCGAAGATTTGATGCTTTTGAATTGTGGTGCTGGAGGAGACTCTTGAGAGTCCCCTGGACTGCAAGGAGAACAAACCTATCCATTCTGAAGGAAATCAACCCTGAGTGCTCACTGGAAGGAGGAAGACAGGAGGGCCTGGCGTGCTCTGGTCCATGGGGGTCACGAAGAGTCAGACACAACTTAACGACTAAGCGACAACATGAGGTGGTGATTATCATTTATTGTCCAAGAGTTACAGTGTAAAATGGGAAAGATGGGGAACACAAGCTGCCTTGGGTCTGTTACTTTGGGACAAAATGGAGTAGAAGTGAAATAACATGAACTGTTTTGCTTTGGCATGCATTTTCTTTGGGGCCTGAAACGACGGCTATAATGCAGATGGTGTCTCTCTGTTGATACTCCCTCACTTGAGATTGAACGTACTCTGAGCCTGTTTGCCATTAATGTCTCCTGCCTGTTGAAGGCCAGACCTTCCCCCAGGTGACATCTTTCCAAAGCCCCATCGTCCACAGTTTGGTTTCTTTTCTCCCATTAGGAGGCCCAAGTGGTTCTCGAGTGTGTCATCCCGCAGCGCTTCCACCGTGTGGTCATGGGGGCCAAGGGCTACAAGGTACAACAGATAACCCGGGACCACGACGTACTGATCAAGTTCCCGGAGCGAGATGATAATTCAGGTGCGTCTTGGCCACGGGGCCAGGAGACCCCCAGGGTTCAGGAGTCAGAGTTCAGGCAGCAAGCTGGTCTTCTGCATCTTTCCTTTTGGCCAGGTTCAGAAGCACAGTCTCAGGAAAACGGCGATGTCAGCCCCGAGCCAGACCAGGCCCCCCGCAAATGTGACATCATCCTCATCTCGGGTCGCAAGGAGAAATGTGAGAGTGCACGGGCCGCTCTGCTGGTAAGAATCGCTCCTCTTCTACCCAGTGGATTGGTCAGGCCCAGCTTTAGACCATCGTTACTCCAGGCAGATGGGCAGTTTTTGCTTTGCTTCGTTTTTTTTTAAAAAAGTTGAGCGCACGTTCACGGGGATGCAGTCAGATCTGGGGCATGTTTACTTTAATGTCCAGCTATGGCATCCCCATAAACCAGAGACAGCAAAGAGCAACTTCTGATTTTGAAAAAGCAAATAAAGCTAGAAGAGACGCATAGAGGTGTGTCTAAGAGACAGATCTTGGCCGCCAGAAATGACTTCAGAAGACGGAAATAGGAAAATGAGCACCGAAGCTTTCTTGCTGAATCAGCTGTCTTTTCTTTCTTTCCAGGCCCTGGTCCCCATCACCGTGGATGTTGAAGTCCCCTTCGACTTACACCGCTACATCATTGGGCAGAAGGGAGCTGGTATTCGCAAGATGATGGAGGAGTATGAGGTATGGGGCAGTGCACCAGATCTTTTTAGGGGGGAAGGGAAGGGTGGGACTTGGTGTCAGCTGGCCTCTTCTCCCTTGCAAAGATGGGGCTCGCCTTAAGGAACATTTGCTGGGAAACCTCTGTGTGATTCTGCCAGCTTCTTGAGAAAGGTTGCTTGTTCGCTGCCCCATGGAAAGGACTGCTAGATCATAAAGATAATTTTCCCTTGTCTGCGAGTCATCCACAGCTAAGCAACAGTCAAACTGTTTTGTACGATACAGTGGTGCCTCGCAAGACGATGTTAATTCGTTCCGTGAAAATCGTTGTCTTGCGATACACGGTTCCCCATTGGAATGCATTGAAATCTATTTAATGCGTTCCAGTTGGGGGGAGGGGGGGAATCGTCGTCTTGCGAAAATTGTCTATAGAAAACATCGTCTTGCAAAACACGGTAACCCATTGGAATGCATTGAAATCTATTTAATGTGTTCCAATGGGGGGGAAAACCGTCTTGCGAAGCATCGGGCTTAAAAAACAAACAAACAAAAACCGTCTTGTGAAGCATAGACCCAGACATCGTCTTGCGAAGCGCAACAGCGATCGCAAAAAATCCATCGTCTTGTGAATTGATTGTTTGCGAAGCGCAACAGCGATCGCAAAAAACCCATCGTCTTGTGAATTGATTGTTCCGCGGGGCAATCATCTTGCGAAGCACCACTGCACAAAAGACCACCATTTAGATGAGTGCACTCAAGTCTTTATGGAAGCTGAGCAGGTCCGATCTGGTGAGATTAATGCAGTGTGCAATAACACAGGATGAGGGAAGAATCCTGTCTAGAATCCCAACAGAGAAGCCTGTCCAGTTAAGAGTTGAACCCACAGTACACAAGATGGGTCAGAAGTCTGATTTCAACTTTGAGGAGGTGAAGAGGCAGACATCTCTTGCCAGTTAAGCGGGCTGCATTGCCTGTGTCTCTTCTCCTTTGCTGTTTGTGAAGGAGCCCGGTACTTCTTTGTTCCTCAGGTGAATATCTCTGTACCACAGCCGGAGCATCAGTCGGATGTCATCAAGATCACAGGCCTGGCCCCAAATGTAGAGCGAGCCAAGGCTGGCCTCTTGGAGCGGGTCAAAGAGCTGCAAGCCGAACAGGAAGATCGGGTATGGCTCGGGCACAAGTGGGCAGAGAGAGGCTTGTGGGATCTTCCAAGGCCTGGAAGGGAAAGCTTTTCTGATTACTTTTTTTCCCTTTCAGCTTATATACTGCCCTATAGTGCTTCAAGCACTCTCTGGGTGGTTTACAGGTTAATTATGCAGGCATACACTTCCAGGTTTGGGGAGGGGGGAAAACCCTCGTCCTGGAGCTAAAATAGTTTTGGGAGAGCTAAAAATTGTGATAAAGGTGTTGACAGCCGTCTGCGAAAGATCCAGGGGGTCTTTTTTTTCTTATTAAAAATATTTTGAGTGGTGCCTATTCAAGGGCATCGAAAGGGCTGGGGGTCTGTGCCCATCTGCAGGTCCCCAGCTTTCCCTGGTCAAGCTGTGACACCCTAGTTTTTTTTAACAAAGGCTCCTCCAGCCTCACCGTAGTTGCTGATCTCCTTTCCCTTCTGTTCTTCAGGCATTGCGAGGCTTCAAGCTGACAGTCAGCGTGGATCCCAAATACCATCCAAAAATCATAGGGAAGAAGGGAGCGGTCATTTCCCAGATCCGGAAGGACCATGATGTCACCATCCAGTTTCCAGACAAAGGGGATGAGAATCAGGTGGGCATCTCCTGCTTAAAGGGAGAGTTATGGAACCAACAGAGCAAAAGATCAGGCTGATGCTTTTCTGACCCAGACGGGTTTTGAATAATTTTCTCATGAGTTGAAAGCTACAGCTTGGCATTCAGGTTGGATTTTGCTGTTCCTCCAGTCTGGAAGGAATTTAACCTGATCCTTTCGTAAGCAGGAAGAAGTAAACCATCCAGTAGAACCTCTCGGTTGTTTGCGTTCAGGGAGTTGTTGGGCAGGTTTTGCGAAATAAATACCAACAAGCTAGAAAAGGGTAAACGAAGTTAAATGTGTGCATGAAGTTTCTCAGCTATGAGCTTAAATATTAAGGTAGAATCTTACTGGGTCTTTACATGCACGAAATTAGTCATGGTTTAATCTTTGAAGTGCTGTGTGAGAACCGCCTGGGGTCTTATCTGTTGGCATCTGCGGCTTCAACATTTCCTCTTACCTATACATAAAAATCTAGTAGAATTGAGCCGTTAGAATCGAAATATGTGTGTGTTCAGGAGCTGCAAATCCTGGATAAGTCTGGCTTCTCACATTGAGTTGGATCCACTTCTACTTGTACATAAGAGTAGGTTCACTGACAATTATGAGTTGGATGTGGATCGTGGCTGAAGACCCATTGGCAGATAACCTGAGGTTGAAGAGAGTAACTCTGCACCGCCGTAACACACTGGGATCTCTGGCTTGTTGATGGAAACTGGAGATTGTGCCGCTGAATGAATGGAGCCTCACCTTTGCCCAAGGGAGAGATTGGACATCTTCTTGTGCAAGTTGGGGAAAAAAAAAAGGATGAATGGTTGCATGGAGGAGAATGGAGGGAAAGGATCATCCTCTTAGAACTGCAGAGCCGGAAGGGACCTTGTGGATTATTGAGTCCAGCCCCGTCAAGAAGGAACGGTTGGGAATTGAACTCCCAGCCTCTGACTCCACAGCCAGACACCTAAACCTCTGAGCTATCAGTAGTTTCCCAAAATAAACTACCTGGCCCATATGGGGATCAAACCCACAATCTTGGTGTTATTAGCACCACGTTCTAAGCAACTGAACTAACTTGTCACTGAGTGGAGTGGGTCTCTCCTTCAATTATGACCACATCTGGATCCAGCCCATTTTAGGACCTGCAGATGGAGTGTCTCCCCCACCCCCACCCCAGCAAAAGTGATTTCTGCAAGCTTTGGCGTGAAATCTGGAGAATTCCAGCCATAAAGGTTGCCAAAAAAGACTCAAGCTGGTGGTTTGACTTGGTATCGAGGACAGCTTCCAGCGCTCCCAGTCCTTTAGAGATGGGCTGAAGCTGTGGGGCAGAGTAGCGTGTTTGCATGCCCAAATGTCTGGTGTTTCCAGTTACAAAAAGGCGAGTGCCAAATAAAATGACATAAAATCCTGTACAGTGGTGCCCCGCATAGCGACGTTAATTCATTCCAGGATTAACGTCGCTATCCGGATTCGTCGCTATGCGGGGGGAAAACCCCATAGGAATGCATTAAACTCCGTTTAATACGTTCATATTGGGGGAAAAACTCACCGCTATGCAGGGAATCCTCCATCCGGCTGCCATTTTCACCACCCGGTAAGCGAGGGCAGGGCGCAGAAACGCTGCGGGCGGCCATTTTGTTGTCCCGGCGGCCATTTTGGAAGTGCCGATCAGCTGTTCCCAAAACATCGCAATGCGATGTTTTCCCTATTAGAAACATTGCAATGCGATCGCATTAGCAATCGCAAAAAACGCGTCACTATGCTGATTCGTCGTTAAGCGAGGCACCACTACTGATCTCCAGAGTCAGAGGAGTGTCCTTGTTTCTAGGTGTGAAACCTAAAGGGATTGCAACTGTTGGGCTTCCAGGGCCTTTTTTTTAAACTGCTGGTTCCAATTAGAGTAGACCAGCGTTCCCTTTAACTCTGCCGCCCTGCGACCAGAACCAGTGGTGCTGGGGACACTCGCTGTGGGGTGGGGTTTTTGCAGTGAAGGAGAAAGGCTGCACAGAAGAGGTGCTGTGGTGCACAGCCACACAGCTTAGAGAAAACTTTGAAGTTCCTGTTGATGAGCAGGTCAGCACTTCTGTAAATACTATTGATTCAATGGATCTACTTCACTTCACATGACCAGCAGGATTGTGGCCCAGATGTTTTTGGCTACAGCCTCCCATCAGCCTCAGTTGTTTGCTCAGTGATAAAGGGGGTGTGGGATCTGATGCTTTCAAACCTTTGGGGGCCCTGAGTTGTGCCCTACTCTAGTTTGAAACTAAGTACCTTCCGTTTGTGGAGTGCTGGTACTTATCAAAATGTGGGGCCGCTCTTAATCTTTTGTTGTCTTGCTCTGCTGTCGATTCTCCTTTCCTTCAGGATCTCATCACCATCACTGGGTATGAGAAGAACACTGAGGGGGCCCGGGACGCCATCTTGAAGATCGTGGCGGACCTTGAGGAGATGGTCAGCGAGGACGTCCGCTTGGACCACCGTGTCCACGCCCGTATCATTGGCGGGAGGGGCAAGGCCATCCGCAAACTCATGGAAGAGTTTCGGGTAAGGGTGGAAGCTTCATGTCGTCCGGGAGAAAAGTGGGGTGGTTGGTGGTGGGTCAGGAAGTCTCCTGCCTGTGGGGTAGGAAAACTCCGATTCTTCCATGCTGGAAAGGAACAGTGTGCCAAGAAGCCATGAAAGCCATTGAGTCCCACTGCACATCTGTCCCACCCCATCAGCTGTGGTTAACGGTCAAGAAACAAAATGGTGGCCCACCTCTTCCACTGCATGCTCTTTGGAGCAGGGCCCGGATCGGCCAGCTGCCATCGCTTGCTTTAAAAAAGAGCCTTCTCCCCCTTTTCCCAGGTGGACATCCGCTTCCCTCAGCCAGGCTCCAGTGACCCGGACAGAGTCACGGTGACGGGGCTGCCCGAGAACGTGGACGACGCCATCGACCACATGCTTAACCTGGAAGAGGAATATGTGAGAAGTTTGTTGGCTGGCCGGAGAGCTGGTGGGGAGGGTGTAAGGAGCTGTGTCCCGTCCCCCCCGGGGGGGGAAAGGATTTGGTGAAGGTTGCAGGACTGCAGTGCTAATCAGCCAGGCCCCAATGGGAAGGGATTATGGTGGTTGTATGCACGCCTTAATCACCAGCCTTCAGTCAGTTCCTGTTAGTCCCCCTCCTGCCGTTTACAAGCAGTTCTCTTGTTCCAGATGATGGATGTGGTGGAGACGGAAACTATGGCTGCATATATGAAGCCCCCCTCTCGCTTGGAAGAGGAGCCTCGTGGCCCCGCCAAGGGCTTTGTGGTGCGCGATGCACCCTGGAATGCATCTGGGAACAAGGTCTGGGCTCCTCTTCTCTCCCCTCCCCCCCTTTACCTGCAAGCCGGGGCTGTCTTGGCAGCTGCTTGGCTTGCCTGCAAGTAAGAAGTCCAGTGACCTTAAAGGACTGAGGGGGTCAGGCAAGTGGTTTCTTGCTCTGAGGACATTAAAATTTGTCCGAGATCCTCTGCCGTCGTTTTGAGATGCACATCGTCTATCGTTTGGGTCTCTTATGTACTGGACGCACACAAACTAGGCCTGTTTCTCTCCGGGAAGGGAGATGATTTCACATCCAGATAGCTGGTAGCTCTGGTGCTTATTTAGCAAGAAGGCAAAGAGCTTTTTTTTAAAAAAAATTAAACCTTCTGTCCATCAGAGGAAGGTGTCGGTGGTAAGTTGATCTCTTGAAAAAACATTTGCAAGAGGACGGATGTATGGACATTAAATTTTTAGTGGGGTCTTTTTTCATTCATCTTGAATAGGTTTAATTCATTAATGTCTTTACTTCTTTAACTTGGCAAATGTTTTGAGATCGATGGAACACAATTTCAGGACGTGACCGCTTTACTGTTAATTTTAACAATAGATGTACAGTGGTGCCTTGACTTACGAACATCCCAACTTATGACCAATTTGAGTTACGACCAGCTCCACCCGCAAAATTTTGCTTCGACTTGTGGCTGGAGCTTCGAGTTACGATCGGGAAAAAGGTGGGGAATTCAAACTGCTAACCATTGGTGGTGAAGAGGCTGCTTCTTCGTAGCTCTTTCGACCCAGCACTTAGAGAGTACTGTATATGTTCAGAGGAGGCTTCGGACTGCCTGATAAGATGCTGCTTTTTGCCTTTTAAAAACTGCCTGTTCTGGGTGGATTTTGCAGCGTGGTTTTGGGCTTGGGGGGGTTATGTTTCTGTTCTGTGATGGGTCTTGCAGTGTTTGTTTTTTGGGATTATTAATCGGTTTTCAATGCACTGTAGGTCAATGGAGACTTGACCTACAGACTTTTCGACCTGCAGCCACCATTCCAATACAGATTAATTCCGTAAGTAGAGGGCCCGCTGTATGCGTTCGAAGGAGGCTTCGGACTGCCTGGTATGGTGCTGCTTTTTGCCTTTTAAAAACTGCCCTTTCTGGGTGGATTTTGCAGCGTGGTTTTGGGCTTGGGGGGGTTATGTTTCTGTTCTGTGATGGGTCTTGCAGTGTTTGTTTTTTGGGATTTTTTTTTCACGTTTCCGATGGGTCTTGCAGGGTTTGTTTGTTTTGGGGTGTTTTTTTTTCATCAGCCAAAATGGATTAGTTTGGGCTTGGGGGGGTTATGTTTCTGTTCTGTGATGGGTCTTGCAGTGCTTGTTTTTTGGGATGATGGGTCTTGCAGTGTTTGTTTTTTGGGATTTTTTTTTCACGTTTCCGATGTTTTTCCCCTCCATTTCCAATGGGTCTTGCAGGGTTTGTTTGCTTTTGGGGTTTTTTTCCCCCTCCATTTCCGATGGGTCTTGCAGGGTTTGTTTGTTTTGGGGTGTTTTTTTTTCATCAGCCAAAATGGATTAGTTGCATTTCTGATGGGTCTTGCAGTTTTGTTGTTTGTTTGTTTGGTGATTTTTTTTCTGGCTGGAAAAGATTAATCACATTTTATTGCATTCCTATGGGAAATGGTGTTTTGACTTACGACCATTTCGAGGGATGACCATCTTCTGGAACGGATTGAGTTTGTAAGTCGAGGCACCACTGTAACTTTCTATTTTTTTAAGTAGGTTTTTTATAAAGGCTTGTGTGTGGTTTTTTTAATTGCAAGGAATAAGTGCAACAAGTTAATTTCTGCCAGATAATTTCCAAGGATGTCCTTCTGTGTGATCATTCCAGCCAACCTCTCTCTCTCCTTTTTTCTGGCTTCAGGCTCCGGATGTGAGCAGCGCCGAAGAGTTCCCCGTGTTTGGCACCGGCGTCGTTCCCAAGCAGACGTCCGTCTGGGGGCCCAAGAAGTTCTGAGCTCTGGACAGAGGCAGGCGATGGAAGGCACTTGCCACTCAGGCGTAGCTCCCGGGCCTGAGGTGGACCTCTTGCCGGCTCTGCTGGAGCCATTTTTCTCCCTGCTGATCTCCTCTTGCTGCCGCAGACGATTGGGCAGTTCCCTTCTTCCTCTTTTCCACACTCTTTTCTTTCTCTGTGACTCTGTGCAATCCATTACTTGATCAAAAGCCATAGTCTGCACCCCTCATTTCCCTTTTTCTTGTTGAGCCAAAGCAGGCCAGGTTGTAAGCACACAGATATAGACATGCCTCTCACGTGGCTAGCTCCCCCCCCCCCAATTCCTCTCCCTCTACCCTCTGTGCCGGATTTTCAGGGCATTAACGTCTCCTGGCCCAGTGAGGCCCTTAACGCACCCCGCTCCCACCTCTCGGCTAAAGAAAGCAGTAAGCAAAGACCTTTCTTCTCTCCGGACTCCCTCTTCCTGGATGTGGGGTGGTTCCCTGTTTTCGCACACACCCAGAACCACCCCAGGAGGAGGGGGAACGCCCCAAATGCACAGAAACCTGAGGAGGGGCACATTTCTTCTGCTGCTACTCCCGACCGACCGTACCCCCTTCCCTTCCCTCGGGGCTCGGAAAAAGCCAGCTGTCTCTTGCCTTCTTGGGCCGCAGTTTCTCCAAGCTCCCCTCCCCAGGCAGTAACCCATGATTTTGGAGCTGCGCCAGGACTAGCGCTGGGGGGAACCCTGTATCATCTGCTTTTTTTTTCTTATTGGGGAAGAATAGAAATGGGATTTCTGGTTCCCAGTGGCTGGCTGGTGGGGGGAAAAAAGTTTTTGAGAAGCAGGTAGCACTTAGAAACTTTGACAACTGGCAGGCTTTTTTGCCTGCTCTCTTTCCCTTTTCCAACTCCATGGCACAGTAGAGAGTCTGTGACTGTTGGTTTATTTCCTCCAAGCCCTTCCTTGTATTTTTTTTTTAATTCTTCCCTTTTCCCTTCCTCATGTCTTCCTCCGCATTGCACTTGCTTTGAAACACTAGGGGAAAATATGCAACATTGAACAAAGAGACACTTTTTTTTCCTTTTCCTTTCCGTTTCTAGTCCTCATTGTGTTTTCCAGATTTTAAACTGTGACTTCTGGAGTGTGTGCGTGTGAGATGGGCGTGCGAGTAAGCATCGCGGCTCCACCTTGGTACCCCCCAACCCTTTTTGCCGTGGCTGAATGGCAAAGAACAACGACCCCCCCCCCGAGCACTGTCGTCATATTTTCTTTTTGTTTCATTCCGTTTTTCCCCGAAGGCAGGGTTGTGGGGAGAAACGAGAAGAATTTAAAACAACAACAACAGTGGAGAACACTTATTGGCCTTAAAAGAGAAAAAAAATAAAGGACCGAGTGGGGAAAAATAATAATAATAAAAAAGAAACTTAAGTTTGAGAAAGGAAATATGCAAACTCTGTAGGTCACATGGTGACTCTGGACTTTTCTAATTCCAAATAAAAAGTGTGAAAAAAAAAGAGAGAAAAGAACTGCCGTTTTGGACTTTCAGTATGATAAAAGATAAGTGTTTTATCTACGTTTTTTCAGAGAACAAGAGGATGGGAGGTGACTGCCATAGATAATTTCTTCTGGATTCAAGAATACTGCACTATACCAGCCCCCCTCCCGGCATTGAAATCACAGCTGCCATTCACACAGGAATTTTGAATTATCTCAGGGGAGGTGCATTTCATTTATACACACATCATGCAGTTCCCCCTTTTCTCCTTTGCTGTTCTCACCACCTTCTTACCCACTCCTTTCGTCAGCGTTCGGATCCCTTCTTTTTAAAATAGTTAAAAGGGAAAGGTTCCCCTTGACATTTTCAGTCCAGTCGTGTCCGACTTTACGGGGCGGCGCTCATCCCGCTTTTCAAGCCGTAGCAGTGGTCCCCAACCTTGGGCCTCCAGATGTTCTTGGACTATAACTCCCAGGAGCCTTCACAACCACCTCTGCTGTCCAGGATTTCTGGGAGTTGAAGTCTAAGAACATCTGGAGGCCCAAGGTTGGGGACCACTGCCATAGAGCCAGCACTTGTCCGAAGACAGTTTCCGTTGTCATGTGGCCAGCGTGACTAGGGAATGCCGTTTTATCTTCCCACCGAGGTGGTCCCTATTTATCTACTTGCATTTACATGCTTTCGAAGTGCTAGGTTGGCGAAGAGCTGGGACAAAGCAACGGGAGCTCACTGCGTTGTGTGGATTTGATCTTACAACTGCTGGTCTTCTGACCCTGCAGCACAGGCTTCTGCGGTTTAGCCCACAGTGCCACCACGTTTAGCCCATAGTTAGCCACCGAATTAACATTGAACTGACAAGACGTGATAAGCATTTGAATTAGCGCCCAAGCGCTAAACGAGAAACTTTTTTTTTAAAAAAGGTTACAAATTGCATCCAGTGACAGCCCTGAATGACTGAGAACGGGCTATCACGCAAGCCAGAAATATAAAATAAGGTGGGTAGAAATGCTTCCAAAAACACAGGCCACACTGGCTAAACGAAATGAAACTGCATATTCATGCCAGAAGGTCAGATCTACTTGGGATTAGCACTGATGTGTGCTGAATGGAATAAATGTTGGGAGGAACAGTGAGAGAAACAGCACAACATTTGATGTAGTCCTTGTGTGGATTTAAAGGGCGTTGGGAATCCAACCCCAGTGCCGCTGCCATGGATGTTCTGCAGCAGATGGAAAGTGGTAACCAAAGAGGGGAGGACTCGGGGACCCGTTCGCAAACCTTCTTCAGGGTAATTTGCAGCCTTGGGGTGTAGAAAGGCCAAACCATGCTGCAAGAAGGCTGTTGAGATCGTAGCCTCAAGAGGACTGGCATCAAACTCACAGATGTATACAATCAATTTTTGGGATTCTTGGCTACCTTTTTTTCTTCACTATCCATGGAAAGGTGGTGCTCAGCCTAAAGAAGTGGAGTTTCCAGTTTTAACCTTTAAATATGATCTTATGAGGTAAGCTACCTCGGGCCCTTTTTGAGGAGAGAGGAGGGGATTGGAGAGATAGAGACCCACCATTGATTAAAAAAAAGTTTATTATTTATTACATTCATTTTTACCAGTGTTAAATACCACCTCCACATTACCTTATATCTGTACAGTGGTGCCTCAATGATTGCCCCGCATTATGACAAAATCGCTTTACGATGATCTTTTTGCGATCGCAAAATGTTCTAAATTGGTTTTTTTTTGCTTTGCGAAGATCAGTTCCCTGCTTCGGGAACCGATTCTTTGCATTAGAACAATCAAAACAGCTGGTTGTCGGGTTTTCAAAATGGCCACCGGGTGCTTAAAATGGTTCCCCGCTGTGTTTAGGGACGGATTCCTCGCTATACAGGCAGTGAAAATGGCCGCCATATGGAGGATCTTAGCTGGACAGTGAGTTATTCAGCCCACTGGAATGCATTGAACGGTTTTCAATGGGGTTTTTAATTTCGTTTTACAATGTTTTCGCCTAACGGCGATTTTCCTGGAACGGATTATCATTAAGCAAGGCACCACTGTATTTGTCATCAGTGTGGAAAGGATTGTCACTCAAGAATTGGCCTTCTCAGCCACACTAGGCACTGTTCCAAGACCCCTATTCCTTCCTACTGCTTCTATAGATATAAAATATGTACACTTACAGGATTAGGACCGTCTGATTTGCATTTACATATCAATAATGCAAGTCAGACTGTCCTCATCCTCTAACAGTTCCCGCATTGAAGTCTCATAGGACAATCCTATTTGGTTATATCTGCAACTTTTCACTTCCCCCAAGTCCTTTGTGTCACCCATTAGGGCGCGTTCATTTGGTTAGAAAACAGCATCTCCCACCCCAGCCTGGAAGCCCTGGGGCCAGAGAGGAAGGGTGGGCTGACCCCTGTGTGTTCAGGGACCTACGATGGGGGGGGGGGTTTGAGAGTCAAGGACGCCGACCCAATTCTAAACCAGAGGCTCTCACTCTTAGGGTATACGTGAGGTCAACTGAGGGAAAGGTTGGAAGGCCTTGGAGAGGATGATGTCTTCTTCAAAACTGTCGAAACATGGGACCGGCTGAAAATTTGCTCACCAGAGAGACCGAAAAAAGAACAGGGATGTTTTCGAGAACATCTCACTGGGAGGATGGTGTTTTGTCAGCTGTAGGGGTGACGGGGCCATGATGTGGAAGCTGGGAAAGAGGACTTCTTTTTCATCCTTTCTTTCTCCCAATGGGTTGGGGAGGGGAATTCAAGGCAGTGTCCACAGGCTGCCAAAGTATAAATTTATTCCAGATCACAATGAACCACAACATGCACATCAAACTGCAATTAAACCTTTCACAATATGAAAAACGTTCCCAGGTTAAAAGAAGTGTAAACACAGGGGCAGCAGTCAGATTGGGGGGGGGGGCGTGGTGATCAGGATCACGTAACTCCCCTGTTACAGACAGCTCCACATGTCCACAGGCTGCCAAAGTATAAATTTATTCCAGATCACAATGAACCACAACATGCACATCAAACTGCAATTAAACCTTTCACAATATGAAAAACGTTCCCAGGTTAAAAGAAGTGTAAACACAGGGGCAGCAGTCAGATTGGGGGGGGGGGCGTGGTGATCAGGATCACGTAACTCCCCTGTTACAGACAGCTCCACAGGCTGCTGATGCAATTAAACCTTTCACAATATGAAAAACGTTCCCAGGTTAAAAGGAGTGTAAACACAGGGGCAGCAGCCAGATTGGGGGTGGCGGGGGGGCGGTGATCAGGATCACGTAAATCCCCTGTTACAGCAGCTCCGCGGGCTGCTGATCAGTTACTATTGAGTACAATTTAAAGCTCTCATTTTAGCCAGTTAAAAAGCCTTAAATGGCTTGGGTCTCAGCGATCTCAAAGACCACGTCTCCCATGATGAGCCTGCTTGGGTGTTAAGATAATCTGGGGAGGCTTTTCTCCCAGTCTGCCTTCACAGGTGCATTCAGGTGGGGGCACAGGAGAGAGCCTCCTCTGCTGCTTCTCCCAGACTTTGGAACTCCCTCCCACTGGAGGCCAAGCTGGCCGCCTCTTGGCTGTCCTTCCATCTTTGCAGGCCAAGACGTTTCTCTCCAGGCAAGCTTTCCCCCTCAATCACCAGCTACCTATGTGTGATTTTTAGATCGATTGTTATGAATTACCGCTTTGGCTGGATTGTTAGTACTACAGGTACTAGCATTTTCGATGTTTATGTTTTCCATTTCTCAGAGCACTTTTTAAAGTTTTGCATACGTATTGATCTTTTGCCTTAATATTTCCTGTTAATGATGAAAGGTGCCTCCTTATTTATTATTCACAGTTTTAAATATTGTATTTTAATGATGTTAACCACCGTTGTTTTCAACTTGTAAGTATTATCTTTTATTGTTGTAAGCTGCCTTGGGTCCTTTTCAAGGAGAAAGGTGGGGTAAAATATTTTCAACCAACCAATTCATGATTCATTTCTCCCCTCCTACCTTCCCACTTAAGTGCTCAACCTCCTCCCAGAGCACCAATCCGATCAGTCCCACCGCACTCCCTCTTCCAACTGGGTGTGTGTGCGAATAAGGCAGGATCAAATCCAAAGAGGTACTTCCTCCCTCCCGCCTGTCTATCCTGGACTGTTTGAGGAAACTGCCTGTCCTTTCATGCATCCGTTGAAAGGGGGGGGGGCTGCAGAAGGGATGGTCCCACCTGTTATGCACCTGAAAAAGCACACAACTTTGAAAGAACACAGCAAACATTTATTTCATGTTTGCAAGCATGGAGAGAGCACGACCCCACAAGGTGTGGTCTCTAACATTTGCCAAGTAAACTCATCTTATATACCTGACGCAAGTATTACTCTCTATCCCTCTGGCCCATGTCATGTCTATCTGTCACGTTGCAACAGTTCATATAATAGCATATACCTAATCTATTTTCCTCACCATGCTGGTGGGACTACTGCACCCTTCTCTATTGATCAGTTGTGCTCGGGTGTCTTGAAAAAAACCAAGAAGCTTTCTATGCCCTGTTATTCTCTCTCACAGCCGGGTCCGTTCCTGGTTTTGATGAGACCAAGT